GAGATTGATATGAAGGAATAAATAAAAGTTCAAGTTCAAGGATGAAAAACTGATAATGAAAGATCGATGTGCATGTCAAAACATAAATTGTATTGTTTAAATACTCATTCAGTTCTGTCAATAATAATCAACGCATTCCGAGAGATACTTGGATTTTAATTCAGCCCATTCACAGAGCACGAAAATTAATGTGGTAAAAAATCTAATGAACAGAAGTACTAAGATTGTTACAGACAAGGAAGACCAACGAACCGAATTAAATAAAGTATTTTCTACTCTTAGGGATAACAACTACCCAAAAAGGTTTTTAAAAAAGATTATTAAAAATGAAAGAAAAACTAAACTAGAAAGTATACGAAAAGAATGGAAGTACACCGTAGTCATACCTTACCGGAGTGAAACATCAGAAGAAATCAAACGGATTCTAAACAAACATGATATAAGAGTGTATTTTAGAGCAAATAACACATTAAGATCGACATTGGTGAAAGTTAAGGACAAGTTAGCAAAGGAAGAACAACAGAACATTGTGTATGAGATTCACTGTCATGACTGTAATGCTACCTATGTTGGAGAAACATCCAGGCAATTAAATGTAAGATTGAAGGAACACAAACAATGCTTGAAAAATGTTCCAAAATCCTCGGTAGATTTAAAGAAACTTGAAAATAAGTCAGCGATAGCGTTACATGCGTTAGAAACAGGACACAAGATTAATTTTGAAGGGACCAAAATACTTCAGAAAGGTTTTAACACCCATAAAGAAAGATTGACAGCAGAAGCTCTGCATATATGGGCGAACAAGAACAGCCTGAACCGAAAAGATGGTATTCAAATGGCAACTACCTGGCAAATTTCGTTTGACAAGTAAATTTGGAACCTATCTCTTGTTTAAACCTGTTTTTTATATCACATGCATCGTTATTATTATTGAAAGAACTGAATGAGTTTTTAAACAATACAATTTATGTTTTGACATGCACATCGATCTTTCATTATCAAGTTTTCATCCTTGAACTTGAACTTTATTTATTCCTTCATATCAATCTCTCACACATACATACATACCTACACACACACACACATACGATTTGTTACTCAGTTAAGTATTTCCATGTAGTTGAATTCATCACATGATTTGTAGTTAACTGACTCATTTTATCCTATTTTACAAAAAATCAACATCCAAATATGATTGGTTTAACACAGTATAATCCTGATTGTTAAAAAGCTATATATTTCTTTGATGATTACCCTGAAGAAGTCCAGACAAGTTAGCTGGACGAAACGTTGGAATTAGTTAAATTTCAATCGCTGAGAATATTTCAAATATAATTTTCACATATAATGACTTCTCTATACTCGGCGCTCAATTACTGTCAAACTATTCGTTCTAATCTTGACGAATATTCGTATAAATAATACTTTTAATTTATGGCTTTTATTGATCAATTAATTTACTACTTAACTAGTGAGCATTTGAAGTTTTCTGTTAAAATTTCTTCGTATTTAATTCATGTTATCGTTTGAACATGTTATATCCCGATGAGAATAATGAATGGTAACTGTTGGAATTTATTTCTGGACTAAAGACTCCAGACTACTCGTACGGGTTTTATGAGTCATTGGTCCGGTCGATTATTCACTGTTCTTTAAATGGCGGTATCATTACCTTATACATTCTGTTTAACAATACCCTATTGAAGACTTCCTGGTATTGAGAGAAGAGTGATGCCCTTGTACTTATCACAGTTGCTGAGATCGCCTTTCTTTGGTGTCTTGATCAGGTGACCTTTTTTCCAGTTGTTGGTACTTGTTCTTCATCCCAAATCTTATTGAAGAGAATGTGGAGCATCCTTCCATTTACTGATACATCTGCCTTCAGTGCTCCTTCTAGAATGTTGTCTGGTTCTGCTGCTTTATCACTCTTTATTTGTCTGATGGCCATGCTGATTTCTTCAATTGTTGGTAAGCCAACATCGGTTGGGAGGTCCATGGGTTACGCTTCGATATTGGGTGTGTTTATTAGGGCTGGACGACGCAAGAGTTCTTTGAAGTGTTCTACCCATCTGTTTCGTTGTTCTTCATTGTTGATGACTACCTCACCTTCCTTGCTTTTCACTGGTCGTTCTGGTTTACGATGATTTCCAGCGATTTTCTTTGTTGTGTCATACAATTGTATCATGTTTCCTCCACTTGCAGCCTTTTCCGCCGTCATTGCTAAATCTTCCACATATCTACGTTTGTCGGTTCTGATGCTCCTCTTCACCTGCTTGCTTACTTCTGTGTATTCAACTTGTGTCTTGGTTTTTTCTGCTGCTTTTCGGCTGGTATTGATTGCTGCCTTCTTGTTCCTCCTTTCTTGAATCTTATCCAGTGTATGAACAGTGATCTATTCCTTATAGTAGTGCTTCTTGTGGCCTAGAACCTCATGACATGTTGAAGTGATTTCCTCTTTTATACCTTTTTAGTTGCTCTCCATAGTTCTCTGTCGATTGAGTAGATCATAAAACGCCTGGAATCTATTGCTGAGGACTATTTTGAATTTATTGAGTTTGTCAGTATCTTAAAGAAAGGCCATATTGAACATTTGTGCTGTTGTCCACCCCATCGTCCGGTGCTTCTTGAGTTTCAATTTCATCTTGGTGACCAGCAAGTGATGATCTGATGCTATATCAGCTCCTCTCTTGCTTCTCACATCCTCCATAGTCCTCCTGAACTTTTTGTTGATGCTGATATGGTCAATTTGGTTTTGCGTGTTGTGATCCGCTGAAGTCTGTGTGATTTTGTGAATGCACTTATGTGGGAATATAGTTCCGCCTATGACCACTTTATGGAAGACACATAGGTTTGCAAATCTCCCACTTTTTGTTCCTTTCTCCCAGTCCATGTCGTCCCATGTAGTCTTGATATCCGGTGTTGTCCATTCCAACCTTGGCATTTAGGTCTCTCATCAGAATGGTTAAGTCCTTTGTTAGGCACTCCTCTACGATTGACTGCAGCCTACCATAGAATTGGTCTTTAACTTATTCATTGTAGTCGTTGGTAGGCGCGTAGCATTGGTTGACGTTCATCGAAATGCCCTCTTTCTTTGTTTTGAAGGGAGATTTGATGATCCTTGGTCCATGAGATTCCCATCCTATAAGTGCATTTTGTGCTTGTTCCAATAGCATCAATGCAACTCCTTGTGTATGTGGGGCATTTTCTTCTTCATGGCCAGAATATAACAAAAGCTCCCCTGAAGTTAGTCGTTGTTGTCCAACCTGCGTCCAATGTGTTTCACTGATCCCAAGCAACTCCAGGTTGTATCTCCTCATTTCTGCAGCAATTTGGAGGGCTCTTCCGGTGTCCCACATCGTACGAACATTCCATGTACCTAAATAAATGGTTGCTCTAATTGTCAGAAATAGCATCGGCCTCGTGGCTTCCGAAGGAACTCGGCTTTCAACATGAGGTGTCATAACTCTTCTAAATGAAGACCTTCTGATTCCGAGGCCAGGGTTTAAGTGGTTTGAATATTTTTTTCTGGTTGGCGTTTTTTTAGCCAGTTAGTTTTCTACGGGATGGGGTCGCTAACCCCATGCCCAACCCTCCTCCTTTATCCGGGCTTGGGACCAGTGGTAGCCCCAAAGGGGCTCCGAAAACATTCCAACAACCAGTTGTCACACATAAGTGAGCGACAAGTACTTATTTGTTTAAATAAAGGTTATCTTGATTTCTCATTCTTGCGTTTCTGGGGCCTAAATTAGATCACTTTCTGTCGAGAAAAAGGCTTCTTGATGATAGTGGATGGTAGTTAGGAAACACGAGTTCTGCCCGGGCAAATTAATATATGTTGAGTTGACACTTAGAAGCCCACAAGTGCCCTGATACGGCCGAGAGTGGAGAGAGTCAGCTCTCTCTCTCCAAATGCTCTCAAATGGCCATGCATTTACAGCCAGTACCAGAAAAGTCCTAATCACTGCCTTCTCATGGAAGGTGTGTTGTTTATGAAACTGAAAGCAATAAAAGCAAATATCAGGCGTTTTAACCGTTTTAGTGGATACGAAAGATCCACCTAGGAGAGTTGGAAAACCCTGATTCCAAATTTATGGTACACATTGGCTCCAGTATCCTGAAGGGACAAATGGTGTTTGAATCAATCATTGGTCACCGTCTACCATGAAACTGCATCTCCAGACGTTGCTCCACTACCTCGTGGATCAGACCTTTAGGTCGAAGACTTTGAGTGTGCCCCCCTAAGAAAACCACGTGCTTCGGTTTAGGCATTCGGACGGTATGATAGCTCACACACAAATCAAGTGACTTGTGTGGCGTATATGTATTCCGTGCCCCCTTGTGCCAAAATTTAGTAATCAAATAAAAATAAATAACACTTAGAAACTATATTAAGTTATAAATGACGGAAAATGTTATATCTTTGACTGTTTAAACGTATATTCCCATTTCATATTTGGATTAATCGATTAGCATTCAAGAACACAAATATTATGATCATGTAATGTAATTTGTGTAAAGCAAAAGTACCGACAGTAGTGAAAAATACATTCTGACACCAATTTAAAACAAAATACTTAATATTAAATGAATAAAAATCATAGAAAATCTTCAATATATTACTTCTTTCAATACTATTGATATGTATATATATCTCTGCATGAGAATGTACTTTGTGTACTATATAGATTCTTTCTTTTTTTGTGATTTGGGCATTTGTATACATCTAATGTAATGATAATATGGAACCAGTTGAAGTGAATATATAACTGAAATTACAACAGAACTGGATAGTACTTGGAATGAACTAAATTTCCAAGAAGATATACATATAAGATATCTATGTTGATATGTAATTGAAATGTAATATCAAACATGTATACTAAGAAAATTAATTAGTAGTAAACAGTAGTATATATATATAAACTATCTCCAATAGATTTATATGTATATTTGTGTGTGCGTTTGAATTTGGTGCCATTTGTGACTATTTTCTTCATAAATCAAAATGAAGTATCTGTGAAATTAATTAAGAGATGAAATAACAGTGAGAACTTATCATTGAAATATATTATATTAGGCGAAATGTTTATTTGAAATAACGAAAAAAGCGAAGAAATTTCTTTTCAATTAGTTTCGCATCACGACTCTATACTATACTATATGATACTTTACTATAACACGGCGCGCAATGCTGACTAGTATAGGGGATGGTTGTAAGATAGTTAGTGGCGCCCAAACCAAAACGTAGCATCAGTGCTTGAAGTCACTAGTTTCTAGTCTGAAAAATGTTGGTAGATGTACACTAATTGATTGGGGTCCGAGTGACTATCATAACCAATGGTTGGAGACTCTTGGTAACATGGCTCAGAATCGATCACAATAACGTAGGTGTATACACTCTTCGTATTCCTTTAAACCATGAGATTAAAATCGCTTTATATCTTTCTTTCTACGAAATAATTCTTTCTTCCTGTACTATGCCCTTATATGCAATCTTTCTTTTATATATTATTACCACGACTGAATTAACTACTTTTATGAATTCGGTGTTCATCTTGTTGTGCTAATGAGGTATGGCAACTTGGACTGATGTACATATGTCCCTGGTCCTACGTTGTATCTGACTGACTGATATATATGAATAATATATAAAAAGTAGGGACTAAGAGAATATTTTGATGAAAGGTCAGTATCATTGTAGTTATGTAAGAATTTAGAGACGATTGTTGAGAATATGTAAAAATACAAAAGTGGAAGAAATTGGAAAATAGTTCAAATATTTTTGAAGGAAAGGGTTACAAAACAGTTCAGCTACAAATTCACTCCTATACCGATGGACGAATCGGTGAGAATGATCGTACAAATCTCTTTCGGATGTAAAGGTTTGGTTTATAAATATAGATTCCGATGGCTTCAGTGATATGCAACAGACGAACTCGTAAACCATGTGGTAAATTGATGAAATATAGTGGATAACCTCAAAAGCTTTATTCAAGTTTACTTGATGACTTGTGTCCACAAACGTAGCAGGAATAGAACTCTTAACCATTGTTATCTATCCTTTCCTCAACCGACACGGACAGCGCTCTGCTATGAGTTCGCTTTATTCGTTCTTTTTACTAAATGTGAACATGTGAATTTTCACTATACTGAATTTTTCATTATCATTTATTCTAATCAATTACTAAAGGATTCTAGTAATATTTTCATTAGTTCTCAAATCGTCCGCAACAAATTCGAGGGTTTTTTTTTAAGGAAAGTAACCTTCATTATTAACTGAAAAGAAATTCGGACATGTCACAGGAAAGAAATGTCTTCACGTGATTATTTGTAAATGAAGTTATATTAAGTTAGTTGGTCAATCAAAAGAAACATTAAACTATTAAAGAAATTACTTATCTTCTCATGTTGTTGCACCTCGTCAGCGTAAGACAATTTCCATGGTAGTAGAAGTAGTAAAAATGTTGATTATTATAAATATTAAATATAAACAGCACAATCATACAAGATAGAAAATATTTGCAGATTAAAACATGTCGAATAATTGAAAAAGTAAGATTTACAAGAATACAACAAGTGAATGAATCTGAGCCGTTGCGGCCGATTTTGAGAAATACCACCCAAATTATATAACCGTTGGCCACGATAGTCTTTTGGATCCCAATTAGGTAATGTGATTCTACCAATATAACTTAGACTAGTAGTATATGATATAATAGACTTATGTCACTACGTTGTTTGACCACTTATAGCTTTCTTTCGGCCCAAACTAACACAGATAAGAAAATACGTACATATTTTTAGGAATTCTTAAACCGGAAGAATACAAGCTGTATAGAATTCTTTATGTCTCAACAACCACCTACTTGACATATCAGTATTTTTATGAAAATTAACGTCGGAGTTTCCTCGTCAACACGAATGAGACACTAAATTACATTAGATGAATGTCTACACTAGATTCTCCCGCAGTGTATATTCTACAAGAACACCAACCCAATCACACTTGGTGGCGAAACTCCGGAAGATGTCGACTCCTTTATGTACCTGGGAAGCATCATCGATGAACAAAGAGGATCAGATGCAGACGTAAAGGCAAGGATCGTTAAAGCAATGACAGCATTCCTACAATTGAAGAACATCTGGAACTCAAAACAACTGTCTGTCAACCAATAATAAAGTCACAATCTACAATACGAACGTCAAAACAGTCCTACTGTATGGAGCTGAAACTTGGAGAATTACCACGACCATCATCAAGAGAGTACAAATATATATATGAAGTTCTCTACGCAAGATACTCAACATCTATTGGTCAGATACCATCAATAACAGCCTTCTGTGGGTGAGAACAAACCAGCTTCCAGCTGAAGGCGACATTAGGAAAAGACGATGGAAATACATAGGATATACGTTATGGAAATCACCATACTGCATCACGAGGCAAGTCCTAACTTGAAATACTGAAAAGAAGTGGAAATAAGAGAAGACCAAAGAACATAATACGTCGGAAAATAGGATCAGATATGAAAAGGATGAATAACAACTGGAATGAGCTAGAAAAGATTGCTCAGGACAGCGTTGGATAAAGAGTGCTGCTCCACGGGGAGTAACAGGCGTAAGTAAGTAAGTAAGTAAGCCTATTCTACAGGACTTCAACACAACTCAGATCAAGAACACCTGATTAATCTGAATAGGATGTAAATATATTTCCACACCAAAAACCAACAACAATACGACACAATTTAACAATAATCAATCATAATCATAAGGATAGGAGAATATATAGCTCATCTAACGTTTGTCAGACTATCTACAAATCTGACTGAGCAAACAACCAATCATTATCATTCTCACTCATACATCAGTTTCATAAACCATTTTTCACAACACCGGCTTGTTTTCAGTACACTCACTGTTTATTCTTTATTTTGAAATTGTTTCTTTACATAAATTATTTTCCTCTCCATATTCTGTTAATTACTAAATCCCATTCATTTTTGTAAAAGCCATTTCTGTTAACTGTCTCCAATTTCATTTATATGTACAAAAAGGAATGGTTTCTAAACCTCTAGTTGCTTCCATAGATGTTGGCGTAATAAAGTAACTTCGCTAATAATAAAAATCATAACTTGTTACTGATTCACTGGCATTTTTTCTTATTCGATTGACTTTTTCGCTTAGTAATAAGGACTAGTCATGTACGTTCTTATCTCCCCTACTCTATACGATCAATATTTTTATTGTGTACATAGGCATAAATCTGTATTAATTTATTCAATACTAGATTTTTTTCATATTCTCCTGTTTACTATGACTTTTTGCCTAGTTTTGAATATATCCATCTAGAATTCGCCAGAAAAGGTGTGTATCAAGTCTTTTGTTTATAACCATAACATTTCTATGTAACATTAGAATGTCAATAGATGATAAAGTTATGATGCATTAGATAAAGTTTCGAATGATTCTCATCAGGGAAATGTGTTAAACTTATGTATTTTTATATATTTTAGTCAGCATCGCACTAACAGATGGTAATATCAAGCTACATATACAATACTGAATACCCAGTTTGACAAGAAAGAGTAATACAATTAATTCCTTAATTTACATTGAATTTCAGTCACGTTAAGCATTGCAATAAGTAACTTTCTTTCACATAATAAAATCCAGACCATATTACTGAATAGAGCATGTGAATAGTTTTAATTCAAGTATATTGCAAACAATTACAAATATGGTTTATGATATAACTACCGGTTACGATAACAAACCTTAAATTGAACTTCGATATAACAATTATCTATCTCAGTATATACACACATAGTTAGAACCCAGAAAACTACTCATTCCAAGCCTTGGAATCTAACTCTAAATCCTAATTCTCATTTTTCATACTAATTTACAACCCTCTTTGACCCTAGCAAATAACACAGCTTTGAAATAAAATATATTTGGGGTGATGATAGTGTTTGGTTGCTCAAATATGAGTACCTGATCAAAATATTAGCTTAGTTACCGGTAAGAGAGTTCACTTGTAACTAATTTACTGCTTCATAAATGAATCTGTCATTATTACTTAACTACACTTTTGAACCTTACACCACTTTGATTTCACTAGATGGTTATTATGACTGGCTCATATCCATAACTACCTGTGTGCCATACTCGAGTAAATAAATCCGTTGAGTTCTGTGAGCTGACTGATTTACGTTAGTCTGAATGGCATCATTACCATCTAATTTAAATGGAAGTAAGGGCTAAAGATAATTCTCAAAATAATGATGAACGATTTAACACTGAAGGATCTGGCTTAAAATATCATACTAAAACCATCCTTTGGGGCTGAGAATTCTCTCCATGATGAACTTATTCTTTATATACAAGTTTCGTTGTAACGCATTAAAAAGAAAGACATCTAAATTTTGCGAATATTTTTCACTAGTCCGTAAAAGTGTTACCAAGTTAGTAACGTTGAGATTAAAAGAATTATACAACGGGAAAGTATCAAAATGGTTGATAGGTCGATGAACGTTTATAAAGTTTAGAAAACATGTTAAGCATACCTAACCACCAGCTACTTTGAAGTTTAAAAGAAGATGGCAAGCGAATAGATTGACGGGAAGCTGGAGGCTGTCAAACCATAGCATTCTATTGGTCCATAGTGCCGTTATCTGTTAGTCCAACCTGTTTTATTAAATGTAGACTCCCTGATTGTAGCACTCACACCAGACGTGGCTTATCATTTGTGAAGTTATTTGGTAGATGATAACTAACAATACATTAACCGAGCAGATAAAACAGTTATTATGTCTTCAGAACAGCAATTAAAACAACCACATGTCGGATTACTTACTTGTTTTCAGTATTATATTCGGTTGGAACTACGTTTAGTGCTCCACACCATTCGCATAACCATAGTTTACACATGTCCTAACTCCATTTTCAACAGTGCCGTCACCAAAACAACCATGGCGTTGTAGACGGCTCGTTAATTCATTTGCCTTTAAGAGAGAACGTTTACGTTGATAAATTTCATTCATTGTATCTGAATCTGCTTTGACTAAGTGTTTTTCAGCATTAGTAAGTTTATTTAAGTCCTAAATAAATATTGAACAATGGGTCAATCAAATGAAATATCAAGATACTAATGTGATGACTTCTTAAAAGAATATTTCATAATTCAATAAACTGTGGAGTACTCAAAGTATTTACAACCCTTATTTATTCAACTATCACTAATGTATACCACATTTCGTGGGATAGATTTGCTAGAGTAAAACGAAAGTTAAACTGAAGTTCGGTATATGCACTATTCAAGTGACGTGCCTCTACAGACAATCACAGAGAAACGTTTACTGGATAAAAACTAAATGTCGTCAAGGCGCGCTATCTAAAAAAGAACTGGTATTGCTTCTCGTTTAGTTAATTAACTGTTTTGATGGTAAATTACGCATCAAAACTACTGTTTACACTTTAATTGAATCTACTCCAGTTAAAGTGTTATTGTATTGAGTGTTTCGATTTCGCTTTTGTGTATTTATTGCATCGAAGCATACTTTTTCGGCTTTTACTTGATTTATTTAGTTAAGGTTTGAGAATTGTTTTACATATCCTGTTCGTGTCACCATTGTAGTTGATTTTCAAGATGGCAAGCTCTGCTCATAAATGTGGACAACCATATTGTTTACTCCCCGTGGGGAAGGGATGCAATGTGATGAGTGTAATAAGTGTTTCTATAAGATGTGCACCCGATTAAGCCCACGGCATATAAAAGGTGCTAAAATCCGAACTCTCATTGGCTTTGTATTTTTTGTTGCCCGAGCAAAACACTACTCATCCAGAAAGCGATTTGCCTCCTGATGTTGGCTAATAAGGAGGTCGACGAGGGCTGTACTGGTAACATTGGTACTGATGGTGAAGATGGCGTCAGTGTCGTAAGTGCTGTCACGGCGCAAGCCAAGCATCTAATTGTGAAACCCGCAATCAAGCCGTCTACCCCGAAACAATCAATGAGTAACACTTCATCAGATATCGGTGGCCATGTTTCTACAACAGTAACCGGTGACCCAGATAAAACACCAACTGTCTCGAGTAGTTCTAATGTAGATGCTATGACTGATGGAAAATGGATGACGCGGAAACACAGGAGAGTAGGAAAGATAGCTAAAACTAATGACCGTTTACTTGATAAGTCCTTGATGGACTCTCAGACCACTCCGCCAAAGTCCCAACGTATAGCCTCGTCAAAAATTATTGTGAGTCACTCGCTCAACTCCCAGGACTCTGTTGCAATAAAAACCAATCGTAAGATACCAGTAGTTAAAATACAGGTGTTGTGGATACAGAATAGTAGACCAATAATTATCATGTTAAGTCCAATGGTGTCCTTGGACTTTAAATGTACATTCCCTATTGGCTATTATTTAATTCACTCGTTACATATTGTGTAAATGTTGTTTACTATTTTTATGGTACGATGTGGTTTGCTTGTTTGGTATATAAATAGAGCATGTCTGAAATACAATGATTCATATCTCCGAGGCTGTGACTTGTGTTCTGGACTCAACTGACTGGGCTAGACAGGGAAGTGAGACCAATCGAGACTCTAGGCCGTCCGTACGTGTTTACGTGTCATTGAATCGATCGATAAGTACGCTGCTCTAATTTTCCAGTCAAGGACACAACAATTAGCACAGGGTAAAAGTCGACCACAACTTAAATTCATAACAACAGGATCTAACGTCACGGTCGAAAGCTGTGAACACAGTTTCAAAAGAAGCTAAACCCCTCCCTAGTTTAATTATTTGGAATCTGGAGGAGTCGAAAGACAACGACCCTGCTAGAAGACATGCACATGACCTGCAGTTAGTGGAGTCTGTGGTAAGGAATGTACTACCTGAAGAGGTTTCAGGGGTACATATTACAAAAGTAATACGACTTGGTAAATGGGTTGGAGGCGAGACCCAACCAAGAAGGATCTTGAAGCTGGTTCCCGTGAATTTTGAAGAAAGAGACATTATTGAAAAACGCACGAAAAACCCGTGATTTAAATATTCGTACATGACCAGATTGGCCGCTTGAGGATAGAACCAAAAGGAAGAATGCTCTTACGGAGTTGAGAACTCGCAAATTAAATGGCGAAAATAACCTTAACATTAAAGGTTTTCGGGTAGTCAGGTCTTGGAAGCCAATGCTTCCGAGGCCTGTATGGATAGAACGAATGATTACCAAAACACCTTAAGTGTGTGCTACACGAACGCCCGTAGTCTTAGAAATAAAACATCCGAGACAAGTCTGATGATGGATGAATTAGGTCCCGATATAATTGTTGTTACAAAAACTTGGTTCACCATAGATATAGAATGTTCTCCATCATTGCAGGCTATATCTCTATTAGCAGTGATAGAGTTTTAAGTCGCAAGGAGGGAGGCATAATGTTATACGTTTTGGATCACTTTCGTATACAATCAATCATATCGGAGGCTCATGTTAGTGGTACATGTGAGGTAGCATGTTGTAAGATTAAATCCAGAGATGGGTTAGTGACTATAAGTGGAACATGCCGTAGTTCGTGTTGTCTTACTGACGAATTTATCTTAAGACACATCTGTCCTTGGAGTATGGCAGAATGTTGTCTCGTCATTGGGGACTTCAGTGCACCGCATATCAACTGGATAGAGCTTACAGCTCCAGGCGGAGGTTTCGATAGAGACCTTTTATCAACCGTTATTCAGTGTGCATTTGTATAATGTATCACAAAACCGACACATATTGATTTGAAACATGATCTGTCACTGCTGGATCTTGCCTTCACCCGTCACTGTGAGGATGTCTTTGATATTCAGCACCTTTCTCCACTAGTGAACAGTGATCACGTTGTAATTCACTTTAAGTTTAGGACACATGGTATACAAATTGTATCTGCTCCACCCCGTCCCAATTTCTAGCGAGCTAATGTTCCGGCAATCAGAAACTGTGCTATCTCGACTGATTGACCGGTCGATGCGGGTGGATCGATCGAAGACGATTGGAATAAGTTTAAAGCTACATTCGAGTCCGTAACGTCGCCGTTTATCCCATGGTCAGCATGTAAGCTACCACATTGCCCTCCATGGATTAATAAACAAACTTGGAAGGTGTAAAAGCGTAGAAAACACTTCTGGGACCTATTCTTGTTGACAGGTCATGCACCATTTAAGTGTGAGTACCAAAAATTCCGAAATATTTGTAAGAAAACTATAGCTAAATCCCGTACTACTTACAAACGACAGTTATTATATGATAGCCGTACTTTTCCAAAACGACTGTTTTCGTATGTTAAACGGCGAATGAAACGTAGTGATGGTATTCCCCCGTTACTGTTACACGAAAATTCAGATTGACTAGCTGAATCAGATCGAGCAAAAGCTGAGACTTTTTCAAACTATTTTAGCGAAGTCTACTCTACGTTTATTGTTACAAATACTTGTCCCACTCACACCGAGATACCAACCATTGAATATGTACAGGTGACTGAGGAAACTGTTCTTCCGTTGATAACTAACCTCAAACCTGGTAAGATACCGGGCCCTGACGGGTTACATCCACGGTTGCTGTCATCTCTTTCGGACATTATTTCAAAACCGCTTGCGACACTCTTCAATATGTCCCTTCCACTCGCTCAACTCCCTAGAGATTGGAAGGACGCTATAGTCAGTCCTATATTTAAGAGCGGTCAGAGACAGATAGTATCTAACTACCGGCCTGTCAGTCTAACTAGCATAGTCGTTAAGTTACTTGAGAAGATAATTCGGGTGAGGTTGCTAAGCCACATAGATTCACACAATCTGTTAGCTTCTGAGCAACATGAATTTTGCAACAAGTGTTCATGCTTGACTAACTTACTTATTGCGAGGGAGGATTGGACAGCAGCCTTAGATAACAGTCTGTCTGTCGATGTGATATTCATAGATTTTAGCAAAGCATTTGACAAGGTTTCACACTTAGGTCTTATACAGAAGCTCACGAGCTTAGGAATAATAGATACTGTACAGGAGTGGATGGGAAACTTCTAATATGACCGCAGACAGAGAGTGGAGGTCAATGTGAAGCCAGTCAAAAGTCGTGTACCCCAAGGCACCACTATAGGCCCTCTGCACTTCCTTCTCCACGTTAATAAGTTACCGCTGTTGCTCAGGTCGTCTACATTATTGTTTGAGGATGATGTAAAAATCTGGAGAAAAATAAAAGATGAAACTGATCATCTGGATCTCTAAGCTGACTTAGACGATTTAGTTAGATAGACTTGAGGTTAGGGCTTAGAAATCAATGCTAGGAAGAGTGTGCTAATGCACATCGGTCACGGTAATGGTTACCGTTATGCTATTGATGGTAAACCTCTTCCATGCGTTCAAGAACATAAAGACTTAGGAGTAATAATAAGTCATGACTTAAAAACAACTACGCATTGCAACGCAGCCACTGTCAAAGGTTTTCACGCGTTATGGTCACTTCGTCGAGCGTTCAAATCTTCTGACGAGGAAATGTTTCGAATTTTATATCCCACCCATGTAAAACCACATTTAGAGTACTGTATTCAAGCAGCTAGCTCATGTCTGGTAAAGGATACTAACTCACTTGAGTTTGTCCAGTGTGTGGGAACGAAATTAGTGAAGGGTCTTTCTAAACTCCCTTACGATGAGCGTTTAAAACGCCTAGACCTTTTCCCCTTTTCGTATCGGAGGACGCGAGGTGACCTTATACTATCATTTCGTGTCTTTATGATTCGGGTGTTAATATGTCTTATCTTTTTGCTCCCTCCAGCACTAATGATCTTCGAGGTCATAGCAAGAAGGTTCATAAACCGTGATCTAATAAACGTAAAGTGGGGTCCCGTTTTTCTCATCGAGTAGTCAATGATTGGAACGCCTTACCGAACAAGTGGTATCAGCTTCATCAGTGAATACTGTCAAGGAGAAACTGGACCTTCACTGGAAAACAATCTGTCAGGATAACACAGGTTCACCAGCCTACTATGCTTATTACTGAAGACTGAAGTTTAGATCCCTTTTATTTTATATCACAACTATACAAACTCAATCAAAATGCAAAGGTTCAGACGTGTATGAAAGTTTAAAAAGTGTAGATTACCTCTTCCGATGTTTCACACCGTATGGGATTCTTAATTGCAGCACTGATTACATCAGGGAATTTTCGAAAATATGCCAAGTCCTTCGGTTGCGCAACCAGCAATTCGACGTCGGATCGTTCTTTGATAACCTTCACGACATCCGTGTGTGAGAGACGATCTACTTGATAAACAATAATTCTGTATTTTCACTTGCCTACAGTTTTGTTATTCACCATTAAAATTATATCTTCATTGAGTAGACCTCCTGATTCACTGGGTGAAAGAGGTTCAACGTTTTCAACTTTGTGTTCATGCTTGAAAGAGTCTGTTCTCAGACTGAAGCCATATCCACTAAAATTCGGCCACAATTTTAAATGACAAAGTCTTGCTCTGTGATTCTGACTTCCGCGGATCCCTTCATTTTAAAAGAGTGTCATAAATGAGTGTTATCAAAGAAAGTGGCTAAAACAAATAGTTCTCAGTTGATGATATTTAGCCGATAAATCAAAAGTCACCGATTTTTAATTGGCATTTAACGATTTATTTGCAGTAATTTAATCTTTATTAAGGTTTTTCGGTAAACATAATTTCTAAAATCCTTTTGTACAGTTTTGTATTGTGGAGATAAGCCTATTTTGTAAATAGTTTTTAATGTTATTTGTATTTATTTTGTCAATTTCTCGCTGTATGTACATTCGTCATTAAATGACTGTACGTGCTGTTTAAGTGAATGACCTTGAACACTCTTTCCGTTGTGGTACTGACATAGCGTGACATACTGTTGCTGGCTAACAAATACACTGCTTCTCACACATTCCTCGTTCTATTTTCGTTCGTGATTGAGTTAACTGAAATCTAAATCGAATATTACTTACATTTATAGACTGTGAGTGGGAATATACCATATCTTACATTGGATTACACTACTGGAGAGTTCGTCAACACGATTGGAATTACAAAGCATTTATAATTGTGGATTCACTGTACCAGACTAAAGCTGAACACGCATCAACTTGGTGAACTTAAGTAAGTCCCATTTTTTATTTTATTTGTAACAGTTAACTGGTATATAATAATATTACTATTGATATTTAATAACTTTGTTGATACTTTTCAAGTTTATGCATTGTCTGGTCCACCACAATTATTTGGTGAGCCCGACGTGATTCGAACACGCATTTTACTGGAAAAATCAAAAGCATTTTTGAGATATGAATGATTCTGTGACGATCTGGTAAATTCATGCCAACTTAATAATTACCGATTAGGATTTTAGTGGCAAGCAGATAGCCATATAAGTTTCCGACAGTTATGCTGACGTAATCAGCTTTACTAAATACCCGAGAGTATTCGGTCAAGTACTCTCGCTAGATCATATCTGGTTGCCCGCGTAGCGGCAAATAAATCCCCAAAATAAATATCTCTGTAAGTTTTCGAAATTGGATGCTGACCACATTAGTTTTGGTGGGCTCACCTATCTGAAGGCTCTCGGTCATGCATCCGCAACAGATCACGAGTGGGAACGCCGTGCTCAACAAACCCTGCAATAGCTAGAAAGACTAGATCATACGGTCCTCGATATATTAATAGCCTACCAAATATATCTTCGAACCTCCTCGCTTCTGTCTTTTGATTTCTCTTGGTGGGTGCGCTTCATATTAGGTGTTACTTATTAAAGAGTTGTCAAACTCAGAATACCTGTGGCATCTTCACCCGAATAGTTAGGTTACATTATGTGTACTACGTTGCATCAGCCTACTGTCCAAATAGACATTAAATTTGAATCACGCCATAAGAAGAGGCTACAAAGAGCAGAGCTGTCAATGGCTATATAGCCCTGACTTCTTTAGGATGGAAATTGGGTGGAACATAAACAACATGTATCTCTGCACATTCAACATTTTTTAACTAAATGAACCAAAAAAGCTTAACAATGTGTTCCATTTTACATGATTTTTAAAATGCATGAATTTTGTATTTTCTCATTAACAGTTCAGTCACTTGTCACCTGGAAATATTTTAATTGTTCCTAGCCGTAAGTTTACTACAAGTGGCTTTATATATACTTGACCTATGTCAAGGGTAAGGACCCAAGTGTCTTGGATTTTATATGTGAGTCGGCTGATGTACTGAGAGAGGCCGCTCTTAAATATGTCCTGCCATTCGGCTTTTATATCCTTCAAAGGTGACTGTCGACGTTGTCGAAATAGGTTATATGTTTCCCGTGTATAAAGTCTATAAGACTGATAAATAAGTAGTCTAAATACTGGACATTTCGATGGCATCATCACTATAACTAATTAACTTTGGAGTGACCATGTTAGATACGTTCACTGTTCTCCAGTCTAACATCTAAAGCCTTCATCATACGCAATTTCCTGCAATTTTCAAACACTAGTTTTCCTATTAGTTCACTTAGATTGAGAGAATATATGGAGATGTTATTCGAGATGGGGTAATTTATAAACAGTGAAATTGACTGGTGAAAAATCTTGTGGCAAATTCATTTTAGAAGCAGTCTTATGTTCCGTTGAGGAGTTTTCAAGTAGATCCGTGGAAGCGATCCTTTTTCCAGCGAGCTAATTTTATGTTTGGGAGTCTGTTAAATGTCATAACTACCAAATTTATGTCTATATCACCCTTGAATCGACCGTCCTGAGCCTAGGATGGTTACATTATTCTCAATCTATTGACAGAAAAATCGAAGCACGAGCAAATAATATACTGACTGCCCCACTTGAGCGGAAAGCGAAGAGGAAATCGAATTCAAAGAGGCCTGGATAAAACCGCTATGTATAATTTGACAAATCGTGTTTCGTAGGTCTCTTTATCTAGACAAAATCCATGAGCTCCGTAAAAAAACCCATGTAGATGTGTCATATTCTAACAGGAGGAGAAAACAGACGGCAGGTGTTGCCTAACAGACACCACGGCAACTCTCCAGGAATTCAAAGTACACCACGAAACCGAAAACAAACCGTTATTTTTGGTAAGATTTGACGGTGGAATAAGTGTTTGGGCAGTAATAGTTTGAAATGATGAGTCTCAATTAAGTGCGAAGGGAAATTAAATATCAAAATGAATGAGGCATATATACTTGGTGAAAATGAAACGAATATGAAAAAGTTAACTTAGTGAAGTGTTCCGCAAGATACTGTCTTAATCACAAGCTTCTGGTGCTTAAGAGTAGTATTTTTAAGGAGGAAAAACGTGAAAGGGAAAAGAAGTGAACAATTCTTGAAAGGGTTCAACCACAATACATATGAGACACACAAATCTCATTCGGTATGTGTGAGGACTGTGATATTGCCCACGTGCCCAGACCGAAGTAGGTGGTTTTCTTAGGGGACCACACCCGGAGCCTTCGACCTAAAGGTCTGATCCACAAGGCAGTGGAGCATCGTAAGGAGATGCAGTCCCATGGTAGCCGTTGACCAACAACTGGTTCATACGCCATTCGTTCCCGCAGGATACTGGAGCCCATGTGCTCCAATGGTTTGGAATCCGGCTAAAGCGCCGGACATTCGCTTTTCGTACACAACACCTCCGCCACGAGAAGGCAGTGAGTAGGACTTCCGTGGCAGAGGCTATATACGCGTGGCCATGTGGGAGCATTTCGAGGGAAGAGCGGACTCTCCCCACTCCCGGCCGTACCAGGGCATTCGGGGGCAGTTGAACCACAATATTAAGAGCGTAGTGAATATCTACCTCTTTGGTAAATCATTGATTTTAATTTTTTAGTGCACTCGGGTGTATACATGTAAATTTACGTAATAGGACTCAGAGTAAATCTTTATATTAGTATAAAGTTTTGTGTAATAATGACTTAGAATGATGCTATGAAATTCATAATTAGTTGCAAAGTCTAATCGAATATAAATTTCTACCTGTTATTTATTCACTAAGGTCTGAACTCTACTAGCCATGGGTATTCTCTGTTTTGCCTGTCGTCCTTCTTTCTAGCCCTCTGTGGAATTATGGTCTACTTCGATATTAGTTCATTAATCTTTACTGTTTTAATGGTAGACCTAATTGGAAAGTCGTATATTTTTCATGATGTCACTGCTCAATCTACAAAATTTTATGCAGAGGTCACATAATAGTCTGTACTGACTCGTCCTATATGACGGCAAGTAGTATGAAGTCTAGAACTTCTGAAGGACACGTTCGCACTGGGACGAAAGTAATACATTCGGCACAAAAGCAGGAGATTACATAAAGTAACCACGCCTGCATGACCAAGCCAAGCTAAACCGATCAACTATCCCTGCGTTTAGAATTACTGACGTTCTATCTGTGTTAACTTTTGAGTGTGAATATTATGCTGTCTTTTGCTCATCCTTGAGTATCGAGTGATTATAGTCAATACCACCACCTCTGTTTCGTATATGCCAGTTAACTGTGTTACACAGAAAATAACCGGTTAAATTTGACGTTTTAACCGACCGATCAAACGTTTTCCGCGTCACGTTCTGTTATACACAGCTCTGAATTTTACTTCCATTAATTTTTTAATCTCCTGTCGCTCGTCGCAACAGATGACCATTGCATCTTGTAACATACCAACTTAGCCCAATACTTAATTGCGGTAAATTCTGTGGCATTAACAACAATTTGATCTTGCCTGTAAATTGACGTACCTCGTGTAACTTATTGATATCTGAGAAGAAATTATGGTTATTTTCACTATATTTAGAAACCTAAACTTCAATTGGACTCGGGAGGCCCGCATCAGTACGAATAACATCCAGCTTGTAGTCACTCAAACTCTCGTGGTTGTGGAATACTGAAGTACAAAAATAGCTAAATGGTGAGGCAAGTATTATATTGTAATCTGACGTCCTTATGACACGTACCCGTCCATCACAAAAAAATAGAAAAACAGAACAAGTGGAAAAGAATTTCCAATATGATCTTTAAAACACAGTATATTTTGTCGTATTCTTTTGATTAGTCCGCCTATACGGTGTGTATATACTCATTCAACCTGTTTTTCTGAGATTAACAAACTGATAATATGAATCAAATGCACCTCTTATAGAAACTGTGTAGCGGCACTCGTTCCTGACCAAATTCTACTCTAAGTGGGTGGCAGAGTAATGGACAATTTACCGACCCTCACCAAATCCAAAAGTAACCGACGTTAATCAATCAATTTCTTGCCACGAACAGGCACGTGTGCCAAAGGTCTCCTTCCGTTTCATGTACCTAATCTAACTAATACATTTCTGGAACGTCGTTGTGTTTACGTCAGATAGCTTAAATGGCTAGGCTTCGCATTGTATTTTCTAGCTATCCAATTATTCGTGGATGAGTCAAAGATAAAATCCCGAACTGAGCAAAATCAACGTGTATTCCAAAGTTCATGTGCTCTTGTGGATCAGGTCACAGAGCGAACTCTATTCGAAGCCATTTCCCATTTCTCAAATCTTACGCCTTCAACTGTTACATTAATAATACTCAACAGAATGTCCAGCGCAACTGTCAGTATGTGTACGAATGATGTGATTTCAATGTGACATTATGACATCCGAACTACTCTATTTATTCAACTTCGACGTCGTGCTTTCTGTATCTTGTGAAATGTTATTTCCTCGTGGCTGTTATCTAACAGATGCTTTCAGAACATCATTCGGCTGTTCAAATGCTCGACGAATTAAAACCTGTCCGGTTCAGTTGGTGGTCTGAAGACACAATTATTTGCACGAATCATCACTTTATGCAGTTAGTGAATCTCGTGCAAACCGGAGTTTTTGCTTCGATATCACTGACATAATTTCAGAGTAACACTTGGTTTCTTATGTTCTCTTTAATACTTCTCGACTCAATTATTAAACTTATATACAGCACGCATCGCTTATCACCTTGTAGAGACAACTTCATCGTGCTACTTTCACCACCGATCCGTAGTCTACGACCCTTACAATTTGTAAAAGTAATCATCAGTTTTTCAAACTCTGTGTACAAATTGATCAGTGACCTCGTGAGACAAAATCACGACTAATCTTTGAGGTCATACTTGTGTACTTTCAATTAATCTGCTAAGTGTAGACATAAATGGAATTCGACACTTATGAACAGTAGACGACGAAATAGAACGAAATTCCACATCAATTGCGGTACAAACATTAGCATCAATTGATAACACGCTTATCATACTACTATTGTTGTATTAATATCGCTTCGGCGAACCGAACGTTGCTCATCTGGGGAACTTGATCGTATTTCAGCGCAGTGCATTCCAACAAAACTTCACGGAACCTTAAAATGTTATAGTTCTTCTATTCACCGTCAATGTTAATTGCTTGATATTTAACCAACCTGAAGGTCATACGTTTGAGCACATTGACATATCTAACAATCAAAGATTTATTATTGGTCGGCATTTTGCGATTAGCTGTAGCCTCCTCCTTACCATTTGTCATTTAGCCCCTCAGTAGTCGAAGGATTCTCAATCATTGTTTGGCTACCTCCGTCGCGCAATTATCCCTAGCATGTTGATATCGATTAAAACGGTCGTTAAATCTAGCGGAGGGAGCATTGTAGGGTCAGTGAAGTGTCACTGGGCCCCAGCCAAATCATCCGGCAGTCTGGTTATGTCTGTGAGTTCACCAATTCTTGTCAAGTTCAAGGACAACGAATGCACATCAATTAATCGTACGCCATGGACTGGAACATGACCTAGTGGTCGCAATCTCTCCCCCGTATCAAATTCTGCTAATTTATTTCTGTAATAAGGTTCTTTGTGTTATACGGTCTCTAGAGCATCCATAGTACTTTGATGCGATGAAAGGGTAATCCATGTTAGATGCTGAATGCGAGGTGCGACTCCGAAGATAGCTGTTGTTCACACCATTCCAAAAATACTTGAGTAGACCTTCAGTCATCTGAAACAGATCATTAAAGTTAGTAATCTCCATAAATTTCAGTACTTATCTATCCGCGAAGATTTCAAAGAAAGCTTACAGTACAGCTTGCCATGTTATACCTCAAATACCTGGTTATCGCCCCCAGGACTTGTGTTGAAACTGAGATCGAATGAGTGTTTGAGATTATGTATGGACGTCTTTAGGGATTTTTAGTACAGCTGGAGATCTTCCATGAGTCTCTGATACTATACTTTATAAAGATCCAGTTATTTAAAGCTCTTACTTCAATGCTTGGATTTGACCACTAGGATTGATTTTCTGGTTCACCTTAGGATACGCTCCACAATGTTCTCATCATTTTGAAGTAAAAAAGGAAAACTATATCTCCATACTCCAAAGAAAGCCTGATAACGCTATTAGGAACTAGGCTGAATATTCTACCCTTATACTGGTTAGAAATGAGTTTCAACGTAACATGTGCAATGTTTGCTCAAATGGCACTTTTAGTCAGATCTGGTGTAAGACTTCGGATCATAAATTATCAAAGCTTTCAGATCATTTCTGGCTTTCTATATCTCTGGAGGAGTTTGTATCTGTCCAAAATAGATTACGTTAAAGTTTGAAGCACTGAAAAAAGATACATTATCATCCGTTGAAATAAAGGATGAAATATGATCACACTGAGGGGATCATATACTTCTTCAGTCATCTCAATGCTAATTTTGGTGGCTCTTGTTTGGTCGTACCAATATATTCCGTAACTACAAATCACAAGTGGTAATATTTCAAATGACCTCCGATAGGTTAGAAATTTATTCATTCTGACACAGGTTTTAGTAATAAAGCTTCAAACGATCTTTCAAGTGAACACATCAATAACAAGGAAAGCGAAAATGCCCATTGCATACAGCTTATGGATCGAAAACAGGAGATCACAGAAAGCTTGCAAAACAACAACATAGATCCTTGCATTCTCCCACAACTCACAAGATCAGACATAAACTGGTAAGAAAATTCCGTGTGAGTGAACAATTAAAACAATCAATTTTGCAGTGTGCGATTAATGAAGGGCGACAATCTATGTGTTATGCTGTTTTAAAACTAATTTTATTGGCTTATACTTCGGAAATGCATTATAATCCTCGACAAAATATAGTCACTCTAATCCTCTATTTGAGACTTTCTAGGGACTTATTTAGGTAATTTATCTGCACGTAAACCATATCCTACACAACTTTATTAGAATGTACTGTCAGATGATTGGCTCCAGATAGAAGAAATATTTAGAAACACAGTAATAGCAAGATCGCTGCTGAGTAAATAATAAACTGGTTTCAAATTATCTCTTGAACTATGCTAAAATAAGGCGATTTAGTTAAAGCGTTTCTGTTTGTTTTCACACAAAAGTGAGAAAAACCTTACAACAGTTTAGTCTCTCTCCAGTCGAACCATTCTAGCATACCTCCTTTTGGTTTGGAACAAGGCCCTAGTACGTAAATACCATTTTTTAAATGTATTCTCAAATGCGTCAAATATTATATTTTGTATATATCATCGCTCATGTCCAGAAATACTTGCTAAACTATGGATAAGATCCGTAAGTTTTTGGAAGCGCTCATCTTACAGTTACAGGTGAGTCGAACGTTATTGCCTACTGCGACTCTTAAGATCTTATGACTAACAACGTCGAGTATAAACATTCATTTAGTTGTGAATCAGATAAAAAAAGATAGACCAGATGACGTTTCCATTTTGTGTTAATTATTTACATGAGTTAAGAAAAAGGAGTCTAAGATTTTCCGTTAGAAACTCAACTAAACGCAGATTTGTAGGAACCTAGAGTATTTTTTGCCTTCACATATTGCTTCCTCTCACTGAGGAAACCAGTAATACAACCTTGAAATTATTAAAACCTCACGAAGAACTGTGTAATTGTCTTATTTTAGTCTGAAACTCCTGATATTGGATACTTTTTAATAGCTCATGTGTCAGTGTTAAATTATCAGTATAGATGTTAGTGAAGATTGTTGAAAGTTATTGGAATCACCAGCCAACCTAGGTTGGAAGATCACTGAAAACAAAGAAGCACTAGACAACCGTTCCACCTCCTTAAAATAACAATCATAAAATGTTCACTATTGACTAGTTTCGCAAGAGTCGTCTTGGAGTTATGATGAGAAACCTCAACCAGTGGAGTCTAAAGGTATTGTGTTTGAGATAGTTACCGTACAACATCATTTAAAGATGGCTGGGCGATATCATAAATTAGCTAAAGTCAGAGATGTACACAACTAGATTAGTGGTATAGCGGCTGACAGTTCGTGAACAAGACCTGTCGAACATGGGTCCGATTCCTGATTCCGTTATCGATTTGTATTTTTGGGAAGTTCGTTCCCAGGACGAAAGCGCTGTTCAGTGCCTTATGGTTTCATATGGTTCTCGAACTTGGGTTTGTTTGTGATCTCAATGAAAATTTAGTTTAGATTAATACATTTCTTTGTAAAGTTGATACCAACCAATCGATAAATCTATTGAAGTTAATGTCCATTTTAGTTGTTTCAACGTCAATAATTTTAATTTGTTTTGCAAATAATTCTAAATTCATGTTTGTTCTACCTCTTCGGTCAGCGTTTTTTAGTGAGTTAGTTCTCTACAGAATGGGGTCGCTAACTCCATGCCCAACCCTCTTTCTTTATCCGGGCTTAGGACTGGCAGTAGCCCAACAGAGGCTCCAGGCGGAGTTGTGTTTGTTTTGATTTCATCTGAAGTTCCGTCCTTGTTTTAGATTATTAACTTGTATATGCAACCGTAAAACCTAATAAAAACTTATTTTCCACCCATAAATTTGTATATGAATTTTTCATTCAAGGTATCGTTTAAAATTTCATGAAAATCTATTACTTAATATTCTACAAAATGGTTATCATAAAACATATTCAGAACTATTCAATTTAATTGATTATGAAGAGAAACGACGTATTAATGCAGGGATTTCATCACCATATTGGACTATTCAACCATTGACTGAACGACATCAATTACTTTGTGAAATGATGACACATTTAATGAATGCAGAGAATTTTAATCATTCTAATCAAATTGAAGAAGTATATAAAGAGAATTTATACTTGGCAGGATTATTTCAATCAAATATCAATGATCATTGGTTATTAGATATTTATTTACAAAAATGTTTAAAAATTGTAAATAAAGGTTATCTTGCTATAAAGAATGTGATAACAACTAAATTACAAATGAATAATATTGATAAAATACGATTGGATAACTTAACTGAAATAAAACAAACACTTAAAAAGAGGTTATTTGAAGCAATCTATCATAATGCTACATATTTATTTGAAACAGGTAAAGTATATATATATATATATATATATATATATATATATAATAACCTGGAAGCACTAAACGACCGTTTCATCCTAGTGTAGGACTTCTCAGTAGTGCGTATACACGATCCCGCACACGGGATTCGAACTCAGGACCCCCGATGTTGCGCGTGAATGCTCAACCCCTGGATCACTGAGCTGGCATTCAATGATGTTAATGTCTAACTTCTTGAAGTTCTAGTGAGTAAATGTGACCAATCGAGTCAAACTGTGTCTGTTGTCAGTCAGTTACTCGCTGAAGACAATAGTGGACGGTCGCGCAATATCGTGGATTGGTTGAAGTTAGGCATTAACACCGTTGGATGCCGGTTCACTGGTCTAGAAACTAAGCGTTCGTGTTCGAGACCGAAGGTCCTAGGCAAGAATCTCTCGTGAAGGACTGTAGATGCTCATTGCTGAGTAGTCCCATACTAGAACGAATTAGCCATCCTAGACTTTCAGGACGGTTTAGCTTAAATCGACTAGTGAATTCAGCTATTAAATTACTACAATTTTCAAAATCTCTCATTCTGAATACGAAAAGTTGAATAAATAAATAATCAATCAGTAAATAGATAAAATTCTAAACTTCAACCTTCATATCTGTTAATTACTTTACGATTGTCTAATATAGTAATCTAAATGCAAACAATGAATAATTAGGAATTTACTATTGTAAACGTTTGACACAAAATGAAGAAACTTAAATTTGTATTTTTAGATTAAAATATTAGACATTCAACTATTTAGCGGTTTTTCTTACATCATCTTTAAATATTTTAACGGTATGTTCAATAGTCAATGTGGATACTGATGCTGGTAACAAACGAACTTTACTAAAATTCACTACTAAGGTATTAGACTAGAGCTCATTAGTCTACAGAAATTGATCAATTGTAGTTTTCAGACTCCCTGAAAAGAAAATGCAAATGTTTACCAATAGTTTCATAATTGTTGAACAGATTCATAGCTATTTGGATTCGGCAGCAGAAGGTATTGAGTTTGTCTTCATGTGAAGATCAACACTGGAATGTTGGAGCATCTAGCTGACTTATTTTAGATGGGATAAAACGCGTATTTTGAATTGTCGATAGATTGTTCTATGATTAAGACATTTGATTTCCAGCCAATAAGCTTCAGGTCAGAACCCTGCTAAGTCTTGTTCGGTTTGGGATATCGTTTATTTATTTATTTGAACACATGAATATTGGTACAAGAGAGCGCCAATATATATGCGCCACACAAAACAATGAGAATTCGAAGAGAAATAGAAAAGAAAAAAAACTAAGGAGCGCAAAAGAAAAAGAGAACAATGACGAAGAGATTGGAGTAAGGTAGTGTGGTAGTAACGACGGAACGAAAAGGTACAATCAGAAGAAATCTTTCAGGTAAAGGAGACACAACCACTTTTTATGAAGAAAGTAAAAGAAGGTTACAGCAGGATCGCCACTGGCTTCTATTCTGAGCCATATCTGATAACGTCTCTAGCCACTGTGTAGCACCATCTCTCAGACCCCAACCAGGGAGTCGTGAAGGACCAACACAAGCCAGTCCTTTGCAGCTTTCTTTCATGCCACGACACCATGTCATGCACTGACCACCTCTCCGCTTCTTCCAACCAGTCCCAGAGTCGGCAAATAATGCACGACGTGGAATTCTCTGGGACGACATTCGGAGAACATGTCCAAGCCACCGAAGTCGGTGTTTCAAGATGGTGACACCAATTGAATTATCATCTCTGTGCCCGAACACACGATGCCGAACCTCTGCATTACTGACATGGTGTTGCCACTGAATGTCAGCAATCCTTCGGAGACAGCGATGATCGAACACAGAGAGTCGTCTAACGTCCTCAACTCGGAGAGGCCAGGTTTCACAAGCATAGAGCAAAACTGCTCTCACCGACGCGTTGTAGATCCGACCTTTTACAGCCAGACTAACATCACGAAGGCGCCAAAGGTGGCCCAGATTGGCATAAGCCGCTCTGGCTTTCACTATTCGTGCATTGATCTCATCACTCACACCCCCACCAGCACTTATGCAGCTACCCAGATACACGAACTTCTCGACTACGTCTATCTGCTCACCATCCAGGGTGAGTACAGGATTAGAATCCTGCCAGTCTTGTAGAAGTACTTTGCACTTCGAAGGTGCAAAGCACATACCATACCTACGGACACTGATTGCCAACTGATTAAGTGCGGATTGCATGCCTTGGGCATTATCGCACAGTAAGACAATATCGTCCGCATACTCAAGGTCGAGAAGTCTTTCTCCAGGCAACAGATCCACACCACCATTACTTACATTCATCAGAGCTGTTTCCAGAATGTCATCGATGGCAAAGTTGAAGAGGAATGGTGAGATTGGGCAACCCTGCCTAACCCCACTGCTCGAATGGAACAATGGAGAGAGGTGGTTGTATGCCCTCACTCTGCCTGAGGTGTTTTTATACAGGGCTTTTAGGATGTTAATAAACTTCTCAGGCACACCCTTCTTCAATAGACAATCCCAGAGAACAGTCCTGTCCAACGAATCGAAGGCAGCCCTGATGTCAAGAAACACTACGATTGTTGGCCTTTGAAAAGTATGGCGGTGTTCTAACATTTGGCGGAGGGTGAAGATATGATCAATACATCCTCGACCAGAACGAAACCCAGCCTGCTCCTCGCGAGTCAATCTTTCTCGGGTTTTGAACAACCTACGAAGTATGACGGAAGCCAATAGCTTGGACGCAATCGGAAGTAGACTTATCCCCCGATAGTTGTTACAGGAACGACGTGAACCCTTTTTAAAGATAGGGACAACTATCGACTCATTCCATGACGTTGGTACACTCTCTAGTTCCCAAACCTTTGTAAACAACGTCGTCAATTCCTTAGTCAAAAAGTCACCACCATCTTTAAAAAGAGCCGGAGGTAAGTCATCTGGGCCAGGTGATTTGTAACGCTTCAAGAGTTGGAGTTCCTTGCGGACTTCCTCCTCATTTGGTGGATCAGTCGTCACCGGCCATGGAGGGCAGGACAGTCTGACCGATGTTGCCGGAGCAGCAGGCCAGTTGAACTGCCCTTCGAAAAATTCTGCCCATCGTCCAAGACGTCGATGGATGTTAGTGATTGGCATCCCATCATCCTCGCAGATTGTTTCACTCACACCAGACTTCTTGCTGCCAGTGGCTCGGATGAGCTGGAAGAGCTTCCGGTAGTTACCAGATGCAGCTGCTGCTTCCAGCTCATTAGCACGCATCGACCACCAGGCTTCTCGGTCCTTACGCAAGCTTTGCCCAATTTCCTTACGTAACATCCTTCGTTTATGGTCAAACTCACGGTCACCCGGAGTAGACCGACGGGCTTCAATGAGTTGTAAGGAACCAGAAGAAACCCAGTGCTTAAAAGCGGGACGTTTCGCAAACCCACAACTGACTGTTCCCGCCATTTTCATGGCGTCATGCAATTGCAACCAATGCTCATCTATACTTTTCGGTGGAGTGGTAGCTAGCCTAGAGGCTAGCTCGGTTCGATACTTACTTGCAACAGAAGTTGCAACCAGCTTGCTAACATCAATCCGTTGATGGCGTTCACTTCGTTGTCCACTGAAAAGTAAGGCAAGATTGGCGCAGACCAAGGCATGGTCAGAGTCCAGATAGGTACTCCAAAAGGAGCGGCAGTCTTGTACACAACCACGCCAGCGGTAGCTGATCGCGATGTGATCAATCTGAGTCCAGGCTTGAGATGCAGAGGGAGGACGCCAGGTGGCACATCGGCGATGACTGTGCCGAAAGTTAGTGCTAGCCAGAAACAGGTTGTGGTCTGTGCAAAGTTGCAGTAGACGGTCCCCGTTATCTGACCTGCGACCAACGAGTCCCCATCGGCCACCTAAACGACTCTCTTCTGTGCCTAGACGCCCGACCTGAGCATTCAAGTCTCCGGCTAGTACTACAATATCTGTCGAACGCACTTTCTGGAGAAGAACTGATAACTGGTGGTAAAACTCATCCTTGATTGCATCCGGGCTGCAATCTGTCGGGGCATAGGCGGAGATGACGAAAAGACATCGTTTCTCACGCCGATTTCTTCTCACTTTGATGGAACTTTCTAATCTAACAGCACATAACCGACTGTTAATGGGGATCCAATCGACTAGTGCTGCCTCAGCTCTAGCGCTTAGTGCGACACCAACGCCAGCAAGACCAGACGAAGATGCCACAGGGTCCCCGGATAAGCGCACGTAAAACAAGCTTTTCGAAGCGACAGATGGAGATCGAATTTGTAGTACTTCGCCAGAGTCTTGAATACGGGTCTCGGATAGACAACAAACATCAATATTAAGACTTTCCAAAGACATAGCCAGCCCTATCTGTTGTCCGACCTGCATAAATGTGCGAACGTTGAAGGCAGCCAGTTTGAATGGTGCACGTGGTTTCAGAAAACTGCTTCAGTCCTCGTATTCGGTGGTAACATACAATTTTCAACCGGACAGTGACTCGAGAACGTTTAGATACAGTCGAATTTCCACCAAAGTATAAGTATAAAAGAGGGTGAATAATGTGAAAAATAATAATAATAATAACAATAATGACAATAATAGTAGCAATAATAATAATAGTATTAATAATGACAATAATTGTAATGATAATAATCTGAATCAATTGTTTGTTTTTCAAAGCGAGAAAGGTAATTTCCATATGCATAAGGAACTAATATCGTGTATTATTACTAGTCATCACATAGAGAGTGCATCTCGACCCAAGAATACGAGCTCCCAAATGCGCTGGTACGGCCGAGAGTGGGAAGAGTCCTCTCTCCTTCTCAAAATTCTCTCACATGGCCACGCGTATATAGCCTCATCCAGGGACGTCCTACTCACTGCCTCCTCGTGGCGGGGGTGTTGTTGACGAGATTGAGAGGACGTGTAGCGAATATCCAGCGCTTTAACCGGATTCCAAACCAATGGTGCACATGGTTTCCAGTATCCTGCGGGAACGAATGGCGTATGAACCAGTCGTTGGTCAACGGCTACCATGGGACTGCATCTCCTTACGATGCTCCACTGCCTTGTGGATCAGACCTTTAGGTTGAAGGGTCCGGGTGTGGTCCCCTAAGAAAACCACCTGCTTTGATTAGGGCACCCGGGCAGTATCACAGCCCTCACACATATCGAATGAGATTTGTGTGACGCATATGTATTTGGCGCCTCCTTGTGTCAATATCTATGTGTTAAAATAAATAATAAATACTTCTAGCTGGTAAGTGAGTTAGTAAATAAAAATGTACATAGACAGAACTATTTTGAAATACCAGTTTAATGAATTCTACTGATAGCTACAAACCACATTTTCTAAGAAAACTCAACTTGATACCTATATTGTGGTCAATAAAGGCTAGTCATTTGTAGTCCTTAACGCCAACAATGAGAATGTACAAACCCTTAAAAATTTATACAAAATAGTATTATTACGTTTTGCTCCACTTGTTCTACTAAGAATGTCAAGTTTTCCTACAATTCATCACATTCCCATGTTAGTAGTGGTGAATTATATGCTGGTTGCCGTTAATTATGTAAGAAACGGAACTGGTAGTATTAAAATAGGTAAATCTTTTCTAATTCAGCCAGTATTGTGCGGTCGTTATATATTCTATATATTAAAACATAACATATATATTGACTTAATTTACAACAATACATTATGAATAATAATATGTAAGTTAAAGACTAACTCTCAAAACACTAAACTTCGTCTTCACTACTGTGTATATATGATAAAAACAGTTGCAGTATTGCTGTGTTCAATTACTAAATAATAATAAACTTATATTCAACCAATGTCAAAGTCAGAATCTTTGATACGAACGTCAAAACGATCCTACTGTACGAAGCTGAAACGTGGAGAACTATTACAACCATCATCAAAACAGTACAAGTATGTATAAACAACTGTCGACGCAAGATACTCAATATCTGTTGGCCGGATACCATCAGCAACAGCCTACTGTGTGAGAGGACAAACCAGCTTCCAGCTGAAGAGGAAATTAGAAAAACACTAGGAATGGATCGGACATAATTTACGCAAATCATCAAACTGCATCACGAGGTAAGCCCTAACTCGGAACCCTGAATGGAAGCGGGAAAGAGGAACGCCGAAGAACACACTACGTCGAAAAATCGAAACAGATATGAAAAGAATGAATAACAACTGGAAAAAACTGCCCAATACAGGATTGGACAGAGAATGCTAGTGCGTGGCATATGCTTCTCCACGAGGGGTAACACCTGTAAGTAAGTAAGTAATAAACTCCCAGATTTTTAATAAATACCCCTTAAAATTCACAAATTTCACACATTAGAACAGATTTGATCTTCTAATAAACATTACAAACTTGTTATTACACCCTAAACTTTGTTTCTTTTTTTTTTCATTTTAAAAAAACACAATTAAACAAAATTCTCCTTGCCCTCACTTACCTTCAGGAAAATACCCCAATCATTAGAACTATATAAACAATTACAAAAAAAATTAGAAAAACATAAAAATATTTTACAACCATCTATAAATCCATTTGACAAACAACAAATCAATATACCATTGTATATTGTATGTTATGAACAAATTTGTCGAATCATTTTAACAATTTATCAACCAAATAAAGAATATCAAATGGATGAATTATTGTTAAATTTAAATGAAGCATTGAAATATGCTGAAAAATGTAAGTTTAATTATTCTTTAATTAACGAATGTATGGGCGTAGGCGAGATATACGTCTATTAACCAAAGGACATGTTTACTGTGCAGCAATTCGTTCCGTCCTACTTTATGTCAGTGACACATGGCCGGTAAGAGTAGAGGATATTCGTAAGTTACTAATATTCGATCATAGGTGTCTTCGAAGCATTGCTCGTATATTCTGCAACATTCGAGTAAGTAATGTAGTTGTTAGGAAACGCGTATTAGGTAAGGATGTCAAACCAATCAACGAAGTAGTGGGACTTCATCAGTTGAGATGGCTGGGACACGTGTTACGTATGTCCAACCACCGACTTCCCCGACGTGCGATGTTTTACAATATAGGATACTGTAGGTTGGAAGAAAGCTAGGGGCAGCCAGAGCAAAACATGGCAAAAATCCATGAAGTCATTGAAAAGTGGACTGAGCCATGTTGGTAGGTATAGACGATAGCAACCGATGGTTAGAGACCTTGAATGACATGGCATAAAATCGTTCGCAATGGCTCAGGTGCATCCACTCTTTGTGTTCTCCCAAATTATAGTCTTCTGAATTCTTCATGTCCCTTTTTGTTTTCTCTTTCCAAATTTATTTCACTGGATTATACTCCTTGAATAACATCTTCAAACCCTAATGTTTCCGATTACTGCTAATACTTTCAATACCTCTACCACTATGGGATTTGAATCGACAATTGTATCTTTGTGCTAATGTGGAATGGTAACTCGAACTGATGTACGTACGTACGTACGAAGTTCTACGTTGCTGCTGATTGACTGAATGCAAACCAATTGAATAAATTTTTTTAAAAAGAAATTTAACGGTATATTTCATCATAGATTAGAGAGATTGATTCTTTTAGAGAAGAAATCTTCAGTAGTGCATTAGAAGGGGCTTTTGTGGATATTATAGTAGTAACTTTTAATAGTTGAGAGCATGAGTCAATTGAAGTTAGACTACCATGGAAAACCTGTGAAGCACTGGATGGCCATTTTGTTCTATTGTGGTACTTTTCAGCAGTGCGCATCCACGATCCTGTTCGCGGGATTCCTACCCAGAGCCTTCAGTCTCGAGCGCGAACGCTTAACCTCTAGACTACTGAACCGGCATCCAACGGTTTTAATATCTAACTTCATGGTATTCACAGTGCAAAATATGAATGAACGCATATGTACCTGTTCGTTATTGGTAATTAAATTTCACTGAATAGATGTGGTGTTTGTTCAACCAAGAACACTTTTTTTCACTCTCTGGTGACTAGTTTTAAGATGCAACCTTCAGAGTTCTAGTGAGAAGCTGTTACCAGTGCAAATCCACTATGTGGGATATGAGTCATTTATCAACATCAGGAAATGAGAGATTGATAAATAGCTACTTAAGTTGGTTGAAGTTAGACATGTCCACCATTAAATATCGACTCAGTGGTCTAGGAGTTAAGGCGTTTGTGCACATATCCCTAGTGGTATCATAGATCCGTACTTTTAGGAGTCCCATACTAGGACAAAACAACTGCTATTACTTTCTGGTTTTAAATAGTGGTCTAGCTAAGACAACACCATAATTTAAAATATGAAAACTGTTTAAGCGAGAGAAAAAAGAAAAATACTAAAATCGAATCAGATCGAATGGTGTTTAGAGATACGGTGAAGAGTTTGCTGAATTAGACCCTCTATTTATCTAGTTGAGTATCGAAATAATGAACTCACAATGATACTTTCTATCAAACATCCGAATAGCGATTTTCACTTTAGTAATATGAAATCATCTTATTAATTTTCAAAAGAAAATGTATATCAGAAGGAGTTTTTTGGATATCATAGTGATTTTAGTAGTTAAGATCATGAGTCAATCAAAGCTAAACCACCATGGAAAACCTGGAAGTACTGGACGGCTGTATCGTCCTACTGTGGGACTCCTCAACAGTGCGCATCCACGATCCCACCTCACAAGATAGTACTTACTTACTTACGCCTGTTACTCCTCGTGAAGGAGCACAGGCCGCTCACCAGCATTCTCCATCCAATCCTGTCCTGGACAATCCTTTCCAGCCACAACTAGGTGGTGATCTGAAGCTATGTCATCTCCTCTCCTGGTTCTCACATCTTCCATTGTCCTTCGGAATTTCTTACTGATGCAAATATGATCTATCTGGTTCTCTGTAGTGTGGTCCGGTGAGATCCATGTAGCTTTGTGTGGAAATATTGTACCGCCTATGACCAATTTGTTGAATGCACACAGATTTGCAAATCTTTCTGCATTTTCGTTTCTCTCTTCCAGTCTGTGTCGTCCCATGATATCTTCATATCCGGTGTTGTCTATTCCGACTTTGGCGTTTAGATCTCCCTTCAGAATAGTGAGGTCATTTCTTGGGCACTTGTCTATGACTGTTTGCAGCCGCTCGTAGAATTGATTTTTAATGTCGTCGTTGCTATCATTGGTGGGTGCATAACACTGGATAATATTCATTGTCATCCCCTCCTTCTTTGTTTCGGATGATGCTTTGATGATTCTGGATCCGTGAGATTCCCATCCTACAAGTGCATTTCGTGCTACTTTGGACAGCATAAGAGCGACTCCCTGAGTGTATGGAGCATTGCCCTCTTCGTGACCGGAGTACAGCAGCAACTCTTCCGTATTTAGCCTTTGTTGTACAGCTTGAGTTCAATGGGTTTCACTGATTACCAGTACTGCCAAGTTGTATCTCCTCATTTCCGTTGCTATTTGACTGGTCTTCCCAGTCTTCCATATTGTCCGGACGTTCCATGTACACATAAAAGTTGTTGCTGTGGTTGTTAGAAGGGGCATCGGCCTCGTGGCTTCCGAAGGAACTCGGCATTCACCATGAGGTGTCATATTTCTTCTAAATGAAGACGTTCTAACTCCTAGGGCAGAGTTTAAATGGTTTGAATTATTTTTTCTGGTTAGCGTTTTTTTAGCGAGTTGGTTTTCTACGGGATGGGGTCGCTAACCCCATGCCCAACCCTCCTCCTTTACCGGGGCTTGGAACCGGCAGTAACTCTAGAAAAACTACAGTAGGAGTTTCGCGAGATAGTAACTCACTAACAAAAAGTGGATGTATCTCTCAATTTCGTGAACTGGTGGAGGTTAGAATTCAACACCGTTAGATGCCAGCTCTCAAATTTATTTCACTGTATTATACTCTTTAAGTAACATCTCCAGACACTAATCTTCCCGATTACTGCTTATACTCTTATTACCTTTACTACTATGGGATTTGAATCGACCACTGCATCTCTGTGCTAATGTGGTGTGGCAACTCCAACTGATGTACGTACGTACGAAGTTCTACGTTGTTACTGACTGAATGACTGACAGTGGTCTGGATGACATGTCCTACAATAGAACGAAACGGCTGTCCAATCCTTTCAGGTTTTCCATAATGGTCTAGCTTCAATTGACTCATAACCTCAACTACAAAATGTATAATTACAAATCTCCACAAAATTACAACAATTGACATGTTCCATTCTTCTTTTTTCTGCTTTTAGCGGAAAATCAAAAACTTATAGGATTATGTAATAAACAAATTAGTCAAGTATATCAGGTCCATAAAGAATATCAAATGGCTCATAAAGTATGAATTTAAAATTAAAATATGATCATTTTTCTTATGATTAAAAAGTTTTAATTTGTTTATCAATCATGATTTCTAAAGTAACTTGGTACTAAATTTATTTTGTTCATTTCAATTTCGATAAGTAAATGTATTCTTATCAATCTACGCACTATAATAATTGTTTTTAGGTGGTTGGAGGTAGTCACTCGGACACTATATCGAGGCTCTATTGTAGTAGGTACTTAAAATAACTAAGAAACTGATATTCCTTGTGAGATTCGAACTCACATCACCCAACTAGACAGTTAGAGACATAACCACTGAAATATTTATAATTAATTGATCAATAAGCAATGATTAATCTTATTTTTGTCGAGTCTCTTCAGTGCTGTGATCACTAATCAATGTAACTTCACATGATATGCACTATCATGAGATTTTATGCAGTTGAAGTCATTAGTCGTTGTTACACCACACATAAAGAAGAACACGGATTACGCAATAGTATGATACATAGAGTTTATTCCAAGTGAGTTGATGACTTGTTGGAATCTATGTAAAATCATATCACTTCAATTTTCTATACATTATCAGTTATAATAGTATCTAACTGAATGTTTATGGTCTTCACAATTGATTGATCACTGGGTAGCGATCAATGTTCTTTATGTCAGGTCTTTTTTAGTGCAAACTGTTGAAACAACTGAGTCGTGATTTAGATACAATTTTTATTCATTTAAAAAATTACTGAGAGTCTTGAATACAACGTAACATGCAGGTGAAAGTTTATCAATTTATGAGTGTTTTATATATACTGATATGCATTAGAATAGATTGCAGTAGAATCGATGAATTTACTCTTGTTTTCACTGGGAACTTGAGTTTTGATAATAATGATACTAATTGATACCTTTTAGTTTTAAAAGGTTGATTAAAACCTGAGTAACTCGGCGGTAACGTCTATGACTATCACGCTGAGTGCCACGAGTAATGATCAAGCATGAAAGGACACCAGTTCTTTCCAAATCTGAAGACACATGTTTCTAGCTTATGCTAACAAACACAAAAGTTAGGTTCAGTTTTGTCTGCCGATTGTTTCCACTCGTACAATATTTCTGTGATCTTTTATTATAATTATTATGGAACCCACATAGTTAATTCTTACATAAGTCCTGAAACAATTCGTATAAAGTTGTCAATATATTCATTTCATCAACCTACATTGTATAGGTGATCTAATCAATAGTCCTCTGTCACTATAGGTGTCCAATGTGACCGATTTATATGAAGTAACTTTCTATTTTACCTTTCGATTCATGTTAACAAATAATCTAATGAATCTCATTAGATAATTTGATCTATTGTCTGACTAATCAGTACAAACTATTAAACGACTTCATCACTGTAATATATATAAGATAATTAAAGCTGTATGTAAAGAACTGTTATCATTACACCAAATAGTTATACTTTGTATTCACAACCAACTCTTGTTTACTTCTATCCATGAGGCTGACAAGGTGCTAAAAAGTGGACTTACAATTGTAATTGTTGTTGATTAATGTGATAGTACAAATATATTTTAGTCAAATCTCATTTCAATAGAATAAACACTGATCTAAAATATTGTAAATGGAATAAGGATTGTCCCGATTTCATTCATTAACAAATCAACTTGCTTAGTAATTATACTGCTTAATACATAATTATTTGTATGGAGATTTGTGGAGATTGTATTTTTCGTGGATGAGCACTACTGAAGAGTCTCATACTAAGACGAAACAATCGTTCAATGCTTCCAAGCTTCAATGACGGCCTAGCTTAGATCAACTTGTGATTTCAACTGTGAACATAATTATTGATAATCATAAAAAAAAAGATAACTAAGTTTTTCGAAATTTTTATAGCTTGCAGAACAATATTTCGATATAGCTGAAAGATCCAATGATATTTTGGAGAAGATTGAAGCATGTAAACTACTGGGGAGTATAAATGAAAAGTAATTCAGCTTTTGTTTTTTTATTCATTTATATGGTAACGATAAAGCAACTCTATTCTTGTACTTCAGACTGGAATTTTTTTAGGGCACTAATGAGAAACTGCAGCTTCAGGAAATTAATCATTTTGGAAACAAGACAATTATTAACCGATGGTATTAGATAATGTTTTATTTATGTTCCAAACTGAGCGAAATTGGCATTAATGTAAGATTAACATAAAACTTACCGTAAGATTATGGGTTCGCGTGGTTGTACAATGGTACATATGCACTACTAATGACTGGCTGACTAGACCAAGAGAGTTGAGGTGCACTCTGTGACCTGCAACAACTTCCCAGCAGAAATAAATCCATGATGAAAGTTACTAGCAAACTATACAAACTTATGATTTTAGATAGTTGGAGGTACTCAACAGTAAGTGGTGGTTCGAGGTTTAGTGTTAACTGACACTCACTAAAATTGCAACCCTACAATCTTAAGGGAAATTATGGTCTTTGTTAGATTCAAACCCGGGTTACCCAGCTTCTTTTTATAAGATGCTACCACTGAGAAATTCGGGCTACCAGTGACACCTCCTGCAGAACTGAGACGTTTTCATTGACTGGTCAATAAGTAGTGTCATTTTCATTTAGTTCGGACAAACCTTTACAAATCACTTATTTAAGTGAACCACTAATTAAAGGATATTTTCAGCCTTTAAAACTATCGAATCCTATGACTTACCAAGCATCTCATTGATCATAATTCAAAATATCCGAATAGCTTACCGTAATATTTTCAAAAATATCAAAATTCTAGACCTTTTGTTAGTACGTTTGCATCGAATCAATAATTTAATATAACTTTTCCCTATATCTGTGTTTGCCTGTCAGTGTGTGTCTAAATCTTGTTTATATTTGAACCAAAAACGTGAAGATCACCAATGTGATATATTGAATGGACAGTTTCAACTACTACAACGTAGGGTAGGACCAGGCATATATGTGCATCGGTCCAAGTTGCCATAACACATTAGCACAACAAGGTGAACACCGAATTCTTAGAAGTAGTTAAGTCAATGGTGGTAATATATAAAAGAAAGATTGCATATAAGGATATGGTATAGGAAAAAAGGATTATTTCGTAGAAAGAAAGTTTATCAGTATGATCCACCATATACCATTCTATCCAAATGATATTATGATAAATCAAGTCACATTAATTTCATACGCCTTTTACATTTCGGAAATGAAAAGAAAAATGTATGAGGCTACGCCTGATGGATGATCGTATTACAGGCTACGAACATGTCTATAATCATAGTTGAATATGCAAGCATTTTGTTATGAAGCAGGAGTTATCAGTCATCGTCCCATAAATGTGATCTTTTAGCACCTGTATAAAGGCAAACAACTAGGCTATGACTAACTAAATGTAGTAAGTGTTTAAGTGCAATTTGGCCGAAGGTTTGTCTGATTATATCTATCATTAGCATCCAAAATAGCCCAGTTCGCGTAATTACTGAAAAAATGATGTATAGATTAGTATATAATCATATCTAAAAGACCATAATATCCCCTCGTTCTAGCCCACACAGAATTGAATAACTTTCATTTCCTCAAGAAATTTTGAAACCAGATTTTGTGCTACTTTGCACTCGTCAGTAAAATGTACATGTATTATTGAAGGAACCAGTGATTCCTGATGTTATGTTAATTGTTCAGTTATCCTCTAGACTATGTATCACTTAGCATCAATAATGTGTTTTTAAATAAATATCATTACTTAGCAGAGTTGGATAATGGCTAGTGGTAGAATTCAGGACACGAGTTTTGCTCCACTTATGACTCATCCATCGCATATTCTTAGCCCATATAATTAAGAGGAGGACTGAAACAATCCTTAAAAACGAATTAAAAATCCATTCCAGCCGAAAAAGCAATCGGCTGTCTGGACAAGGTACATAAAACAACAGCCGATCGAAGTGGAAAGTACTGAATTCGAGTCCCAGCGTGAATATCAACACTGAAGCTGCAAATGCATTCGGTTGAATAGTTCCATATAAAACAGAATGTGAACCATGTATATCCACTAGTAGCTATTTTGCAATCCTACTTAAAATTCCTAGCATATGACTTAATAGTAATTTCGAAACAAGCTGATGAGATGCAAAGCTATTAAAAAAGACAAATCTTTAACATAAACAATGGAAAAATTCAAAAACTTCGAAGTAATTCTATGATTGAATTCACGAATCAGTTGAAGCTAGACCACCATGGAAAACTTGGAAGCATTGAACGAAAGTTTCATCCCAGTATGGGACTTCTCAGCAATGAGCATTAACAATCCCCCACTCACTACTCGAACCCAGGACCTCCGATCTCGCGCGCGAACGCTTAACCTCTAGATCACTGAACCGACATTCAACCAATCCACGAAATCGCGTCACTGTCTACCATTGTCTTCAGTGAGTTACCACCTCACAATAGACCCGGTTGAACTCCAATGGTCACTGCTTCTCACTAGAACTCCAGAAAATACCTCTTGAATCTAATCATTAGTGAGCATACGATGATTATTATCAGAAGGGGTTTTTTTTAGAGATTTTAGTAATTTTACAGTTGAATTCATGAGTCAATTGAAGCTAGACCACCATAGAAAAACCTGGGTAGCATTGGATTGGTTGAAGTTAGACATTAACATCGTTGGATGCCGACCAACTCAGTGGTCTAGAAGTTAAGTTTTCGCACATGAGATTGATAGATCCTGGATTCGAGTCTCGCGGGGCATGATCATGGATGTGCACTACTGAGGAGTCCCACAATAGGACGAAACAACCGTTCAATCCTTTCAGACTTAGAAATAAATTGAATGTCATTATTATTATTACTATTCTCTTTTTTTTTTCTTTTCTTGTTAAGTTTATCTAAACTAGATGAAGCTGAACAAAATTACATAACTATTATTGAATATACAAAATTATTACATAATAATAATACAGAGAAATTATCTGAAGCCTATGAATTATTAGCTAAATTTTATATATTCAATACAAATAAATATGATTTAGCTAAATTAGCTTCTGAAAATGGTTTAAATTATGCTCAAATAAATGAAACTATTATTTATAATCAATTAAAATTATGGTATTCAATATCAAAATCGAAATTAATGGAACCGCATTATTTAAATATGATTATAGCTGCACAATGTAATTCCACTGATATGATTGATTTAATTAAATGGAAAGATACACATTATAATTTACCAACATTTGATAAAGATCATTTTCGAGAAGTAACATGTAAGTCAGTTATATTATTTGTGTGAGTTAGCGTTTATTTTTTTTAGCGAGTTAGTATTCTACGGGATGAGGTCAGTAACCCTATGCCCAACCCTCATTCTTTACCCGCGTTTGGGACCGGTAGGAACTCGTAGAAAAGCTGTAGGCGGAATTTTGTGTATTTGTAATTTTTATACATCTTCGATACTATGAAGTACTTGAGAGAAGATTGTTAACATTACTCAGAATTCATACGATGGACTATATAAGTGCAAAATTGTGTATGGAGGATAGCTGACAGATACATTCCAAGTAAGGACCGAAGTCAGACAAGGCTGCCTACTCTCCCTCTTTCTTCTGGTGGTTGACTGGATTATGAAGACCTCGACATCTGAAGGAAAACACTGAATCAATTAGATTTGAACTTCGCCGATGACTTGACCCTTTTATCCTACACACACGAACAAATGTAGATGAGGAGAACTAATGTAGCAGCAGGCTCTGCATCAGGCCTCAGTATACACAAAGAAAAAGCAACATCCTCAAATACAACATGGAGAATACCAACCCAATCACACTTGATAGAGAAGCCCTAGAAAATATGAGAGGTTTCACGTACCTGGAAATCATCATCAATGAACAAGGAGGATCAGATGCAGACGTAAAGTCGAGGGTTGACAAAGCAAGGGTCACATTACTACAATTGAAGAACATATGGGACTCAAAACAACTGTCTGTCAACTAACATGAAGAAAGTTCTATTGTACGAAGCTGTAACGCGGAGAACTACTACAACCATCATCAAAACAGTACAAGTATTTATAAAGAATTGTCTATGCAAGATACTCAAGATCCTTTGGCCGGATACCATCAGCAGCAGCCTTCTGTGGGAGAGGACAAACCAGCTTCCAGCTGAAGAGGAAATTAGGAAAAGACGTTGCAAGTGAATAGGACATGCATTACGGAAATCACCCAACTGCATCACGAGACAAGCGATAACTTGGAATCCTGAAGGGAAGAGGAAAAGCGGAAAGCAAAAGAACACTACGTCGGGAAACGGAAGCAGATATGAAAAGGATGAGTAGCAACTAGGAAGGATTGCTCAGGATAGGTTTGGATGAAGTGTGCTGGTGGACGGCATATACTCCTCCACAAGGGGTACAGAGTATGTAAGTAAGTACACAGGAAGATTTTAATAAACTATTCTCCTTGTAATAACTATGAATTAAATTGAAATAGTAGGTATGACTAAATAGTTGACAACCATCTTGTTTATTCCAAGGAATTACAAAACTTCTTGGTGATATTAAGTTCAATAGAATGGATATTCCAACTAAAAAGCGTTTGTCTTTGACAACACGATTACTATCTCACAACTGGGATTCAGTAATTAAATACAAACAGATCCTGACCTTCAGTTACAATGAAATTCTTAAATGGTAACTATCAATCTAGCCATATTGTATAATTAGTAATAGATAATTGTAGAATCTTGTTTAGATACACATCAAACTAAGTTTTCATGTATTTCACCTCAACACAGTAAAAGACAGCTTTAAAGCGTATGCATCCAAATAAAATAGTAGTATTGTAGTGAATGTGAATACCAGTGGGGAAAACCAAATGTATTTTAATACAGTATTACAGAATATCTTAGTAAAATCTAAGAACCATACAGTAGATACTTCATTTGCAAAATAAATATTAATTGTCTCAGACTATGTTGTTCTTTAAGTTTCATACCAATAACTCTCTGTCCTCGTTCTCTTTGATTTTCTCAACCTACTTCTACCAGGCATTGCACTTTCGATTGGTGATACATACTACTTATAATTGTCGACATCAGTAGCACACACCGCAGTTACAGTTAAGCAAACCAAATATAACATATTTTAGCGCATACAGACTAAACAACTGTATGTAAAAAGAATTTTATTATCGAAATGTAACCATATAACTATGCTATTCAATCAATTTTGTGAATCTTATCTATTTGCAGTCACGATTAATATGAATTATAAGTCATACTTATTCGAACTAAATCCATTACTGATTTGTTCAAATGTCAGTCTAGCTTTTATTCTACTTATTTATTTGAACATATAAATATTGGTACAAAGGGGCACCGAATACATATGCGCCACATAAGTCACTTGATTTATGTTTGGGCTATGATACTGCCCGGATGCCCAGACCGAAGCGGATGGTTTTCTTAGGGGGCCACACACGAAGCCCTCGACCTAAAGATTTAATCTACAACACAGTGGAACGTCAGGAGACACAGTCCCATGGTAGTCGGTGATCAATGATTGGTTCATACGCTACTTTTTCTTCCAGGTTCCTGGAGCCCATGTGCACCAATGGTTTGGAATCAGGGTTTTCCAACTCTTCCAGATGGATCCTACGTAGCCATCAATCCGGTTAAAACGCCTGACTTTAGCTTTTCGTCCTCTCAATTTCTTAAACAGCACCATGAGAAGACAGTTTACAGAATATGAGTTCAATTAATTCCGTTAATCATAAGCAACTTAGAATCTGTTATATATATGTACTTCAATGTGGTGTGGCAACTCGAAATGATGTACGTACGTACGAAGTTCTACGTTGTTACTGACTGACTGACTGATGTACTTTAATCCATGTTGTCATATCATATCACCATAATGAGATAAAATTATCAAGATAAATGATAGAAAAGTAAGAACAGTAATAATAAATTGCTTGCAATTCATTACTCTAAATGGATGTATAAATTTTTTTTCAACATTTCAGATGATAGTTTTACTAAGAAACGAAATGAGATAAATCAATCAAATTCAACTCATACTTTGAATTCCTAATCTATTATTTACACCATTTATTTTGTATGGTTCTTTGAAGAATCTCAAGACAACAACAATAACAAGGAACCAAAAAAAAATACAGAACAGACTACTTAGATCAAATGATCGATGCACTGAACACTTTTTTCTTCTTATTCAATTCTAAAAGAGATAGTTTCGAAAACATTTTTCTGTTTTAATTTTCTTGTTAGTATGAAGACATTTTTTTTCTAAACGTTACGTTAGTCATCATCAATGTAGGATCTGGCATGTATCTGCAATAATCCAAGTTCATACATTGTATTAGCACAGAGATCGATAGTCATCAAGTTATGAACTGATGCTATGTGTTAGCTTGAATATCAGCAACATTTCCCGAGACTACTCCAACGCCAGCCAACATTTGATATTCAGATAGGCGATGGTTGAATATATTTATCTCTGCCAACTTAGTTAAGATTTACAATCTACTCAATATATTGTTAGTCAACCACATAAGAATCCCTCACAACAAAGGTTACTTAAAATTATCGGTATAGGGTTGTGGAAATTGTTGAGTTTCGAATGACATCGATCAATTTTAGACCACTATTGAAAACCTGAAAGCACTGGACGGCCGTTCCGTTCTAGTATGTGACTCTTCGGCAGCGCGCATCCACAATCCAGCACGCGCGACTCGAATCCAGCTCAGCGGTCTAGAGTTTAAGAGTTCGTGCGTGAGACCGAATATTCTGAATTCGGATCCCGCATGCTGGATCGTGGATACGCACTGCTGAGAAACCACATACTAGGACGAAATGGCCGTCCGGCGTTTCCAGATTTTTAATAGTGATCTAACATTGATCAATTCATGATCTCAATCACTACTTAAACTTGCTTTCCTCTTGTTAGATGATATTTCTACATTGTAATTTATTGAGAATAGTTCACACGATCCCGTTGACAGAAGTTTCACAGATGTTCAGGGAAATGTATCTAAAAGATAACTTCGGAAAACTTAAGATCAGTTGAAAACACTGTTATTAGATCCATGAGTTTAGCGAAAAGTGGTTAATGAAGTAATGCGATGTCACGACACACTGTAAGTTATAATGACTAAACACAAACCGTCTAACAGTCAACTGACCACTAAATATTTAAACAGCTTTCAACAACTTTCAGCATGACGTTGGAGCTAAAAATCTACCAGTATTCTCAACGAAATTATAAACATGGTTCCTGTGCAGTTCAATAAACTTTTACATTCTAATATTGAATGTTTCGACACAATGTCCAACCTTTGATGCAAACTTGCGTCGCATGTCAACCACATTCAGAGATATCACTGTCAAGTTATTGAGATCAAGGTGAAATTTAGTCAAATTTTATTACTCGAATCTGAAAATTTGGTGGACTACAGTGTTTTAGTTGTCTATTTAATCCGACTGCTACACTTTTCCAAGGAAACTCAAAACGTTATGGAGAAATGTAATTAACAGATAAATAAAGGTTATTTCAACTTGAATCACAATCATTCCTACAAAACAACTGTACCTAAGTTGTGCTCGAGAAACAGGACCTATGGAAGTTGAGGTGTTTTTCGGTCAACGTGATCCGAACAGGAACAATAATGTAGCTTTGAAGTATATACTGATGTTAAATCACAAATCTTGATCGAAATCTTTTTATATATAAGATAACCTCGCAAGAGAACGGACACGATCACTCATGCAAACCATGTTAGGTTGAACGAACAAGCATACAAATGTGACAACATTACTTACACCACTGAAACATTGATAACTAGGATATAGGCTGGGTAACTCGATATATTAAATAAGAGTTTATACGCAGAGCCTTGATTTACACTTTCGTTTTATGAAAGTTAATATCACTAACTGTTTGCTCGAAATAACATCAGTTCTTTCGTAATTAAATAATGTGATACAAGCTGGTTTCAAAGTGTAAATTTCTTTATTTATTTTAACACATAGATATTGGTACAAGGAGGCACCGAATACATATGCGCCAAACAGATCACATTTGATATGTGTGAGGGCTGTGATACTACCCGGGTGCCCAAACCGAAACAGGTGGTTTTCTTAGGGGGCCACACCCCGAGCCTTCGACCTGAAGGTCTGATCCACAAGGCAGTGAAGCAACGTCAGGAGATTCAGTCTCATGTTAGCCTGTGACCAACAATTGGTTCATACGCCATTTGTTCCCGCAGGATACTGGAGCCCATGTGCACCATTGATTTGGAATCCGGTTAAAGCGCCGGATATTCGCGAATGTCAATCTATCTACTTGATCGAATCGATCATTTGAATATGCAATCTGGTCATTTGAAATTGAGTACTTATGTTTTTTTATCATCACTAACCAGCTATCAATTCACTCTGTTAATAATAAATATAATTAATATCTTCTACAAAATCTATTCAAATTATGTGTACAAAAATATAATTACCAATTGAAGGATCAGATCATATTTACATTTTATAAATCAATTTCAAAATCTTCACTTTTTAAATGCTTCTTCAAAATATTCTCACTATTTGTCATTAGCATATTAAAACCAAATGTGAAAATATCATCATCATCATCATTATTATTATTCTTATCTTTATTATCCATTGAATATTGAATATTCTGTATTGTATTATTGAATGTATCCATAGACATTGATAAATCATTATTTGAAATATTGAATGAATTAGAAGATAAATGTTTATTCCATAAAGGTTTATTCATGTTTATATTATTATGATTATTGAATATTTGATTGTCAGTAGTATTGATATCAGTAGTAGTAGTAGTAGTATTGTCATCAATGTCGATAGAATTATTTAATGGAGTCCATTTGAAACTTTTAGTCGATGGAATCATTAACAAATCATCATCATTATTATTATTTTGAATAACTGATGAAGGGGAACATGGATTATTATTATCATTATTCTCATGATGAAATGTACGTTTATAAGATGGAAGACTGTGACGTTGTCTACTGTCTTCTTGAGTGTATTTCTTCAAACTATCATTATTATTAGTTATAAGTTGAGTTGAACTAAGTAGAGGTTCTAATTGAACCTTTCTATAAGTATTAGAATGATCTTGTTTAAATCTATTTAGATAAACATTACCATTATCATTGTCAATATTCTTATTACAATTATTATTATTATTATTATTATTATTATTATTATTATTATTGTTACTATTTAAAGTAGACATTACTAATTTCTCAATTTGTAAATAATCAACACTAGCATTCTCTGGTATATTCATTGAAACAATCAATTCAGGTGAAATAAATTTTGATAATGAACTGTTATTTAAATGAGATTGATTATCATTGATAGAACTAGTGGAATAAAGAGAACAATCAACTAAATAGATCACAACAATAGCATCCTAAAAAAGAATCGAATAAAGAAGAGACATAAAATTAAGTCATGAATAAAGAATATTATTAAGGTAAACAATATAACAATCATATTGAATATTGTAGGCAAAGATAGATTATGGTTAGCAATGAGATGCAAGACGCGCGTTTCGTCTTATTTGGGACTCTTCAGTTGGATATACCTACATAGGACGAAACGAGAGTCCTGGATTCCACTGATGGCCACCATCTATCCTTGCCTATAAAGCTTGTGACTTAAGGCAATATCAAGACAATCCGTACAGTATACATATATGCCAATAAGACATTGATCAATTGCATTGCTAAAAATGAATGGGAAGATAAAAACTAACAATAAATAATGAGTATTATTGGGTTAAATACATTGAATGAGAAAACAATCAACAAATTTATTTTTGCCATATTTATTATAAAGGAAAGAGTAAGAATTCGGGATTACTAACCGATTTTTAACTAGATTTACTGGAGCTTAAACCCACAACTTATTTTGGTTAGAAGTCAAGTTCCTTAATCGAGTCAATTCGTAGGGAATCATCTTGCACTGTCTTTCTTTTATACATAATTGATAGAATCTTATCGTCTATAATGCTGGTGACGATGACTGTTAATTCATGGTCCCTCGCAGCTTGAAATTATCGACCTATCTATGATTTATAGGATAAGAATTAAGCGTCTTAGGATTGAATTCAGTTAGTGAATAAGTTCACTGATTACACTGATCATCATATTCATTTTTTTTTGTTTTCTTCATGCTGAATTTTGCCAAAAACCAAAAATCCTTTCTTTTTGCCAGTCATAATAGTTCAGTTAGAAGGGAATTAGTGTTTTTAAATCACCCTTGTCAATAATTTCCATCAACTGAACACATTGTATTACACTAAATCATTTATCAACGAGTAGGTACTTTGCTTATCGTCCAAAATACGTTTATCAAAATTAATTGTAAAACCAACTTCTACAATACACTGGTTGAAAAGAATACCTATTATTATTATTATTATTATTATTATTATTATTATATGTAGTCCTTTGTAACAATAAAGAGTTGAAGTTTCCGAGTAGTTTGTAGTTGTTGTATTCTCTGGGTTAGGACGGGGTGGTTTCATCGTGAAGCTTGAATATACAAACAGCGAACAGCCTAGAGTCCTTATAGGTCCTGCTTTCCGCCTAGCCCAGTCAGTTAAGTCCAGAACATCAATCTCAGCCTCTGCGATATGAATCGTTTATTTCAAATATGCTGACTTTATATACCAACCAGACAGACCACACTGTACCATAAAATATGAAACAACATTTGTATTAGTTGACACACACACAACACAACAGAACCATTCGAAAATAATTAATAATCCTCACAGAAGAGTGAAAAGATAATATCAATAAAAGTACTTCATAGCTACCCTCCATTTACAACATGATAATAGTATTAATAATAATAAATCTTACTTCAACAGTAGCCTCATTTCGACACATCAATCGAGCATGTGCTTTGGTTAATCTAACAAGACTTTCCAATAAACGTAAGGTTCGTCTACTGAATGCACCGGCCAATAAATCATTACAAAAATTCGACATTTGACTTCTTTGCCAGACATAATAACGTTGAAGTAGATTAGCTGCTTCCATGGACAATTGTGGTGTGAAACGATCACGAATCCATACAAAATACTCTTTTAAATCATTTTTAGACCAAAGATGATGATGCTTGTCGTAGTGAAAAAGGATAGAGAAAAAATTACAAACAAATACACAAATAAACTATGATATAATGTCGAAACAATAAAATGGATTAGAACATAATACCGAAACGAAAAGTTAGAGTGCTAGACCTACATAAGTCGGTGTGAACTTATGGGTTGATGTTCGCTCTATAGTTCGAAATGCTATTTAACATCATCCAAAACCCATGGCAGTTGCATTCATACTATATATCGCTCTAAATAATCAAGTAAGTTCATGTTAAAGATACTATATGTTGCTTAATGTCATCTATGCGTATTGCCCGATGTCAGGAAAAAACTGGCGATGGAAAGGGATATATATGATCTTGTAAGACACTGTGTAGTACAGTAGAGCAATCAGAACATAGATGGATAGTTCCATTGACCATTTGAACTACAACAATAGAAGCTGTCTTGGTCGGCGGCCTACATTCCTCCACAAGGGGTGACAGGCGTAAGTATGATGAAAGAGCAACTGATTGTATAACTTCAAGTTTTTATAACTCCTAGAGTTACTAACGGAAGCGCATAGTACTTGTCGTTTCGGACGGAAGACTGGCTTTGTTCCCTGTTGTAAATACAATTTAGCTTTGTCAATAGTACAACGCTCCAACGTGTTCGGGAACACATTTGAATGTCTTTCAAAAAGATCCGCCTCTGTTAACGTTTTGGCGTTGGATGTTGCATTTATCACGGGCGAGTGGTTGCGAATGCAGGAATCATTTAATGTACATAAAGTATCCAATGGAATACTCCAGAGATTTAGTTTGTCAATCCAATCAATACAGATAAGATCTAAATCATGTCTATTTGTTGAATAAAAAGTTCCCGAGAAAGAATAATCTCCAAATTTAACAATACATTCAATCATTATTACGAGTTTTAGAATATCTCCAGATGTATTACAAGCCGTATGTTCGTAGGTGGTACGGAAGGACAACTCATCAATTTCGACATCTTTCTAGAAATTAGTGTGATGTCGGATGCTGTATCTAGTTGTAGACGAATATAAACATTCATTAATAGGTTCACGCATCTTCTGTTGCCACCTAAATTCCATGCAAATGTTAAATATATATCGCGAACATACCCTGTGTGACCCCAGGGAAACTTCAGCTGTGCTTGCTACAGCTGTCGATCATTATCCCATACTAAACAAAATACCAAAATGACATTACAAATAATAACTAATGGTTGTAGACGCCCGGTAGATTTAAAAAATGACACCACTATGGTAGAAACTAAGAGGAAAACTTCAATAAATTGTAATATCCATTCCATCAAATAAAGTAGACAAAACAATATTACCGTCAGCAATCACCAATAAGCTTAAATAACGAAACCTTTTACAAAATGCTGTTTTTTTTATGAATGGCATATTGCCAGAACTTGTCGTTACAGAAATCACCGATGTAATATATGTTATAAATTTGGTCATAAAGGGACCTTTTGTCAACAGAGGAATTAATAAAAGCTCAAATCACGGCTGAAATACCCCCGTGATCACATATGACATCCATCCAGCAGTCCGTGAGTTTGAGTCCCTAATAGTATTATTGTCGCTTTCCCTCCTTACATGCACAGCACATTTATCGAGAGTTCCAGCATAAATTTGTACTTGGTAAGTAACAATAGACTGATATTGAGAAAAATGTGCGTGAAACACATGTATATCAATTTCTGCTGAATTAATAGTGACCTAGAAACAGTGAATTCGACTGATTACATGTGTTCCAAAGTTATATTACAAATAAATTTCCCTGAACATGTTCTATAAGGCTACCCAAAACGACGTTACCAAACTCGTTCTCATAGTCAAGAAAGTTGATGTTTAATGACGAGTCCCATTTAATTGATTACTCAACAATGAATAAAATATTCGTAGACTAATAAACACTAATAAGGTTTACATGTAAAGATACACTACCTTAAAATGAAAAGCTAATCTTTATGAAAATCTTTGTAATTTCAAATTCACTAATGGAGTCCTGATAAAGCTAATCGCTTTTCTGTTTCATAGACGATAATTTAAATATTTTTCAACTCATCAACCATGTACCGAATTCTGGAAAGATATTTACACTGCAAGAACAAATGACATTTACAACTTAAACTCCTAAATTGAGATACAAAAAAGTGATTTAGTTACTAAAAGTTAAACTATTAAACTAATTAGCTATAGCTTAAAGTTTTAATGTATGAGTTTAACCTATTAGTAATCAAAGGTTAGAACGATTTCATGAATAAATCTCAGCAAAATGTTGTTCTGCAGGTATACATGGCTCTGTTGAGATTCCATAAACTGAAATGTAATAAACATTTGTATAAGTGGGTATATTATCTATCAAACAAATTGATTAGCATCTTCTTAATTTATATTCCTGATGACATGAATAAAATTCATTACTTTTGTTATTTCCTGATTCGTTGAAAAACTAGTTGGTTGATCTAAATCCAAAATAAAGTTAGCAATCCGACGATCCCATTCTAAAGAGTCAACTGGATCAACTAATCTCCAGATTAAATCAAAACGACTTAGCAATGGAGTTGGTAAACCATAATCTTCATTCCCATGTAGAATAGAATTCGGTGATGGATTTGCTGCAGCTAAAACAGAACAACGACAATTCAATCGAGCCATAAGACCAGCTTTAGCTAGACTGATTGTTTGTTGTTCCATTGCTTCATGTACAGCAGCACGATGAACACCGTGTAGTGCAGTAAATTCATCTATAGCACACAAACCACCATCGGCTAATACTAAAGCACCAGCATCCAGTGTCCAACCAGTTGAATCACGTATAGCTGTAGCAGTTAAACCAGCTGCTGTAGTACCGGTTGCAGTAGTTAAAACAGCTCGATCACAAAGTGATGTACATCCACGAAGAAGAACTGATTTCGCGGTACCAGGATCACCTATGAGTAGAATATGTGGATTACCTCGAATATGTGTAGAGAGTTCATCTACACTTGTAGTTTCACCTACAGAAAAAAAAATTACCAAGTTATAGCATTCATAAAATGAAAGCAGTTACTACAAAACAGTTTAGAGAAACTATGATATTTAATACATAAACAAATGAACCTGATATTTTTTGTCTCACAAATTACCTATCGATGAAAACTTCAGTTGTTTTCAACTTTTATCACCTAGTATGACTGAACGTCGTACAGATAAGCATTTAATGACACCTAAATTCGATGTAAAATCAATAGAAGCTAATAATCTGCGATTTTGAACTGTTTAATATGGTGATAACCTATTTTAGGCTAGTATCTGAAGATGCATCATGATTCCTTGAAAAATACGATCTTAATTCGAGAACTTATGCATTGTTCTAAATAAGTTTATTTTGGGCAATATTTTTTATAACTTTGCTTGTAGCCCTTATAGGGTTAATGATAGTCCGAAACCGGGTAAACAAGGAGGATGGGCATGAGGTTAGCAACTCTATCGCGTAGAAAACAACTATGCTAAATAACACCGATCACTAGTATTTTTTAGAAAAACCATTCCATCGACATATTTTTATGACCTTTTTGTGAATAACAACGAACTGAACGAACACACTATTCATTTTGAAAGATATTTAGGATTAGATAAGCTCACATTCGTGAGAAGTATGAGTTTTATATTCAATATACAATGAAACGGGGCCACTAGGTAGTTCTATTTTTAAATGAACTTAGGTTCTTTGAAGTCAGATACGAACAATTTATGTACTTCCTCAGAAAAAAATACTATAGTATGCATAGGTTGAGTGTACTTGCTTGTAGTAGTAGTAGTCGCTTCTGAACTTTAGAGGAAATATAGAAATCAAAATAAGCATAACACAGTTGAGTATTAAACATTCACTTGTTTACTTCATTTTATCCTCACGATTTATGTAATATACACACAAAAGCTTCAACTGAACTCTACTTAATTGACACTGGACATACTGTTCCCACTTTCTAAATGTATGGTGAGAAATACTCAAAGCAGATAATGATTGCAATGTGGACTTTAAACTAAACTCAAAAAAATCTAAAACATTATCCATATTCTAACGAAGATACACATCTAACGTGTGTACATAGTGTGTATATGGTATTGTCAAATCTTACCCGATGTAGAATGCCATTCAGGTGCACTTGCAAGCATTAAAGCTAGTGAAAGTTTGATAAGATACATTCCATAAACTTCTGGACAAATACTACGTAGAAGTATATTTCTACCTTCTAAAGCTGAACTAAAATTGTATATTTATTCCAAAATACTTCGAATTCTAATGCTCGTTCATGTGAAATATGACTAGGTCCACCACCAGCTTTAAGTTCGGTTAGATTTTCAATATAATTTGCTTTAAGATATGTAAAAATTTCACATGGACTGCCTTCTTTAGTACATCGCCATCTACGTGTTACAACTCCATTAATAACTACTTCATCCCCGGGTTTAACACATTCTAATAAATCATCTTCAATACAAACACACATAGAACGTCGCATAACACCGACTGTAAGACAATCAAACTGTTCATGTACACGAATTTCTTGATAGTTTTTTGCATAAAATTGTGAGTTTGACGACACACATTTTAAATTCATAGAATTACAAGATTGCTGACGATTTGGACAATAACGTGGTGGTTTAATAGCATAGAAATTTTCAAAATTAGCATATACACTAAATGTATAACCACATTTTATGCAATAATACTGTACTTTACTTTGTATCACTTGTACAGGACCGACACGACTTACAATAGCTCTAAGTGCAATAAATTTTCCAGTATCTATTGATGTTGGTATATGATTTTTATATACTTCCGGTATGATAGGTAATGCTGTTAAACGAATATGTATATTTTGTTGTATATTATCAAGTAATTGTTTAGGATTATCTACTTTGTTGGATTGTATGACTTGGTAAACACTCTTGTTTAATAAATTCAATGTTTCTTCAGGTTTGGATAGAATTAATTCTGAAAAGATACTGTTAAATTCGCATAAATTATTAAAATGTACAATAATTGACTGATGTGGTTCAGATGGTAATAGTAACGAAAGTTTACAAATATCACTTCGATGTTCACGTAGTAAATATTCTGAAAAAAGTGAAATAATAGATTCACTCTTCATTGTCATATTATTTGTGACAAGTTTATGAAGTCATTTATTTAAACTGATGAATTAACACGTCTGGTCAACCTGAAAAATGGCAATGAATAACTAGTCAAATTTTGAAGAATAAGGCCGTGTAAACAATACTAAAATAGAGATGTAATCTTTCAATCGTCTTTATTAATTAACACTTTATCTCTAGAAAATCAACAACAAAAAATTCATTGTATCAAGAACATTACATGCAATCTGGAAACGATTGAGAACCTTATGCATTAGTTCAGTCAGTCAGTCAGCTACAACGTAGGACCAGGCACATATATGCATCGGTCCAAGTTGCCATACCTCATTAACACAACAAGATGGACACCGGATTCATAAAAGTAGTTAATTCAGAGGTGGTAATATATAAAAGAAAGATTGCAATAAGGATATAGTACAGGAAGAAAGAATTAGTTCGTAGAAAGAAAGATATGAAGCGATTTTAATCTCTTAGTTTAAGGAAGATAGAGAGTGTATACACCGACGCCACTGTGATCGATTCTGAGCCTTGTCACCGAGAGTCTCCAACCATTGGTTACGATAGTCACGCGGACCCCAACCAAGTAGTCTGCATCTACCAACATGGCTCAGACTACAAGTTAGTGACTTCAAGCACTGATGCCACGTTTTGGTTTGGCCGCCCCTAACTTTCTTCCAACCATCCCGACACCGGTTAGCATTGCACGTCGTGGTAATCGGTGTTCGGCATACGTAACACGTGGCCCAACCATCTCAGTCGATGAAGATGCACAACCTCATCAACTGATTTACCATCATTCCCTAATACCCTGCGTCTAACCTCACTATTACTTACCCGGTGATCCCAGCAGACGCCAGCAATATTTCTAAGGCATCTGTGGTCAAATACTAGTAGCTTACGAGTGTCTTCTACTCTTAATGGCCATGTTTCGCTGCCGTAAATTAAAACAGAACGGACTGCCGCGCAGTATACTCGTCCTTTTATTGATAGACGGATATCTCGCCTTCGCCAAGGTGACGTAAGTTGGCAAAAGCCAAACGAGCTTTTCGAATCCGTGCTGAGATTTCGTCAGACACCAACCTGTATGGGCTGATCAGACTTCCAAGATAAGTGAAGTTGTCAATACGTTCGACTACTTCACTCCCTATCCTTAGTTCAGGTGTTGACGCAGACCAGTCCTGAAGCAACAACTTGCATTTAGAGGGAGAGAAGCGCATTCCAAACATTCTGGCATTGTTGCTTAGTGCTACCAAAAGACTGCATTTTATCAGCGTCTTCACCAAACAGGACTATATCATCTGCGTATTCTAAGTCGATAAGTGGACCTCCTGGAAGGAGATCAATACCCGAGAATTCAGTAGACGAGAATGTTATTTCCATCAATAGGTCTATGATGAAGTTAAACAAAAATGGAGAAAGTGGACAGACTTGACGGACACCACTTGAGGTTGCAAAAGCAGATGACAGTTCGCCATAAGCTCTGACTCGACTAGTAGTGTTCGAGTAAAGAGCCTTCACAAGGTTTATGTACTTCTGAGGTACGCCTTTCAATGACAGACACTGCCACAGAATCTCGCGGTCTACAGATTCAAATGCTGCTTTTAAGTCAAAAGAGACCACCATTGTCGGACGCCGATAAGTATGCCTGTGTTCTAGAACCTGACGAATGGTGAATATGTGGTCGATGCAGCCACAACCAGGTCCGAAGTCAGCTTGATTCTCTCGTGTTTGCAGTTCACGAGTCTTAGTTAGGCGTCTGATAATTATCGAGGCTAGTATTTTAGATACTATGTTAGTTAAACTAATCCCTCTATGGTTGTCACAGGATGATTTTGACCCTCTCTTATATATTGGGACGATAAGTGATTGTGACCAGTCAGATGGAATAACGTCTAATTCCCAGATCTTAGCTAAAATATTGGTCAACCTAATTGCTAAAATTGGACCACCATCCTTAAAACCTCTGGAGTCAATCCATCTGGACCAGCTGCCCTTCCTCGTTTCAGATTAACTGTAGCCTTTTGAACTTCTGCTGGAGTTGGGGGACCTACCTTGCATTAATTGGCTAAAAACTACGTGAACCTGTTAAGAAATCGATCATCAGTTAAACTAGAGAGGATACTGGACAGCAGTCTAAGGTCAGTTTGTTAATGTGACATTCAATAGATTTTAAAAAGGTATTTTATAAGATGTCTCGCTTAGGGTTTATGCAGAAGCTCTCCATCTTTGCAATAACAGGTTTCATACAAGAGTGGATAAGGAACGTTTCTTCACCACGTCAACGAATTACTAAGACTGCTTAAGTTGTAGACACGGTTGTCTGTAGATGATATAAAAGTCTGGAGAATAAATAATCTTGGTCTCCAAGCTGAACCAAAAGAATTGCCGAGATGGTTCTAAAGTTAGGGTTTGGAGTTTAATTTTAGAAAGTGTGTTCGTGCACACTGGAAAGCCATAGGTACCAGCGTACCGTCAACAGCACATAGCTTCCACGAGCGCAGAAACAAAAGACTCGGGAGCAACATCAAGTCAGGACTTGAAAGCAATCTTGTATTGCTATGCAGCAGATGTCATGATGAATAACACTGAGCTACCTGTTGTCCAGACACACAATGACTTGGGAGTCATCGTTAGCCAAGACTTAAAGACTACTGCACACTGCCGTGCAATAGCCGCCAAAGGTTTTAGAACTATATGGTCAATACGTAGGGCTTTTAGTCATGTCGACGCTAGAACGTTTTTGACTTTGTGGTGGTATTGAATGCTGTTAGAGGTATGAGGGCGGTTATCACTTCCCGGTTGCCCACACCATGGAAGGGTTCTTCTAGAGGTACCTGAAAAGGAAATTGGATTAGAGGTGGTCTTAGTGACCTGAGAGAGTGACCGCAGTGCCCAAGGGACAACTGCTTGAGGTCGGTCACACACGACCGTTTTGTAGGGAATTTTCGTGTTAGCTCCGTACTTGTTGAGACCTTACCGCCGGAGACGGATATGCGTGGGATAAGGTGAGGTGTGCATTTTAGGGTCGACCTTTTCTAACTTTATCCCCCCTTATGGGAAGACAACATAGCTGTTATGCTGGTTGTCTGAAGGAAACACCTTACTGCTGCCACACCTCTGTACAGTCAGCAGTACAACTTTGCCTTCAGACCATGGGTTTGTTGCTTTTAATCTTACTGCTCTTCAACCGACCTGTCTGACATGGTAGGACCGTGAGGAACGGTTGTTCCAACCAGTATAGCTGACCCACTGATCTACTATGATCATTATTGAAGACTGAAGTTACCCTCTGATTAATATCAGGACAATCAGGTGGAATCAGTAGACCAAATGCGTTTGAATACATAAACTGATTAGTGTGTATTAATTGACTAAGTTTCGTTAACAAAGGCGATATGTATCTTAACTTTAACAGTTTTGATCTCTGGGAATCATTATATCCTTGTAAATATTCTAGGAACGAGATTACGAACTTTAGTGACAATATGCAAAAATAAAGTAGTACATTCTACACTTTCCATCTTCAATCACTTCATACGTTATAACGCATGAATTAGAAACTGTAAATTCGCCAAGACTATAACTCTCATCTACTTGTTCTTTCCTATTTATTTTTAAATGCAGGCAAAAGAAGGTAATAAGTATGGAATTGGCTTGAGTAGCGCACTTTGAGAATCATATTTGCGAAGCAGCTGTTATACCTTAAGTCACATGACCTTGTGATCCTAGCATTTTCGTAATTGACTCAAATTAATTCCACAGTCAAAGTCGAGTCACTAAAACGACAAGTTCAGTCTTCAGTCTTCAGTAATAAGGATAGTAGGTTGATGAACCTGTGTTAATCCTGACACATTGCTTTCCAGTGAAGGTCCAGCTTTTCCTTGAAAGTATTCACTGATGGGGCTGATACCACTTGTTCGGGTAAGGCGTTCCAATGATTGACTACTCGATGAGAAAAACGGGATCCCACTTTAAGTTTATTAGATCGTGGTTTATGAACCTTCTTGCTATGACCTCGGAGATTATTAGTGCTGGAGGGAGCAAAAAGATAAGACATATTAACACCCAAATCATAATTAAAGATACGAAATGCCAGTATAAGGTCACCTCGTGTCCTACGATACGACAAGGGGAAAAGATTTAGGCGTTTTAAGCGCTCATCGTAAGGGAGTCTAGAAAGACCCTTCACTAATTTCGTTCCCACACGCTGGACACGCTCAAGGGAGTTAGTATCCTTTACCAGACACGGGCTAGCTGCTTGGATACAGTACTCTAAATGTGGTCTACATGGGTGGGATATAAAATTCGAAACGTTTCCTCGTCAAAAGATTTGAACGCTCGGCGAAGTGACCATAACGCACGAAAACCTTTGACAGCGGCTGCTTTGCAATGCGCAGTTGTTTTTAAGTCATGACTTAATATTACTCCTAAGTCCTTATGCTCTTGAACGCATGGAAGAGGTTTACCCTCAATAGTGTAACGGTAACTATTACCGTGACCGATGTGCATTAGTACACTCTTCCTAGCATTGATTTCTAAGCCCCACTCTCGAGCCCATCTAACTAAATCGTCTAAGTCAGCTTGAAGATCCACATGATCAGCCGCACTTTTTATTGTTCTCCAGATTTTTACATCATCCGCAAACAATAATGTCGACGACCTAAGTAACAGCGGTAACTCATTAACGTAGAGAAGGAAGAGCAGAGGGCCTAAGATGGTGCCTTGGGGTACACCACTTTTGACCGGCTTCCAATCGGATAGCGTTCCATTGACCCTAACTCTCTGTCTGCGGTCACATAAGAAATTTCCTATCCACTCATGTACAGTACCTATTATTCCGAAGCTCGTGAGCTTCTGCATAAGACCTACGTGTGAAACCTTGTCAAACGCTTTGCTAAAATCTATGAATATCACGTCGACAGACAGACCGTGATCTAGGGCTGCTGTCCAATCCTCCCTCGCAATAAGCAAGTTAGTCAAGCATGAACGCTTGTTACGAAAT